ACTGTTTCCAAATCTAACAAGCATCCAGTAAGGCAATCCTTTTGTATCCCTAACTTAAATCCTGCCTGCTCAGCTTCGGCCCATTTCTATACTTTGTTGAAACAGAAAAACAACCCAGCTCACTCCACATAAAAATCTTTCAGAAACTTTAGGAAAAGAGGGGGAGGAGGGTTCGCTACCAAGAACACATACATTTGCTTCTTAAAGAAAATACAGCCTTTTGTAAGAATTTTTTTGGTGTATGTCTTATACTCTGAGTAACTACTTTGAAGATAAAGATAATCAGTGTAATGTGTAAATACCGAATAGTATCTCTAGTGTGAGAAACTGAAAGTGTAAATAAGGATGAAAATGATTAAAACGAATAATTCATAATTTGAAATAGGAAAAGGTCCAAAGGTGCAGGGGTGGCAGGAGGGGAAGGGGAAAGGGAAGAAAGGAAAGGAAAAATTATGAGAAAGAAAAAAAAAAGGAAACAAAGACTATGTAAATAGGGAAGGGTGGTGGGGGTGAAGGGCGCACAGGTAATGGGGAAATAAATAAGAACTAAGATATACATCTTGTTCAGGTACAAGCACCCAATGATAAATGTAAATATATTGTATACCTAAAATGTACCAATTAATATATAAATAAAATAAATTAAATTAAATTTAAAAAGATAATCAGTGTAATAACTATTGTTATTGTCTTATTATGTGATTATGAAATTTGGGGTTTATTTCATAAATTTTTTAAAAACTGCCTCAACTGAGATGAGGCAGAACTGACATACAGAATTTGAACTTGAAGGGTATTTATAAGTGATAACTGCAAGTTACACCTCATCAAGACTCAGCAGATCTGGCATTAAACCTCAAATCACTCTTTTCTAATTACTCCCCTGCAGACTCCCCTCCCTTGGAAAAAGCTTAATAAAAATAGCAGCTCTCTTGGGCCGAGGATTTAGCTCAGTGGTGCCGCCGCCTGCCTCGCAAGCAATAGGTCCTGAGTTTGATCCCTGGTACCAAAAAAAAAAAAAAAATAGCAGTTCTCATCAACTCTCCCTGTAGTAATTTAAATCCCCACCTCTTCTGGCTCTCTCCCTTAATCTTTTAACCATATATTTAACTAGGTCTCTCGTGAATTAAAAAGTCTTTAATGAGCAGTCCTTTTGAGGTACATGCACTTCCTTTCTCCTTATGCACTCTGCACCTAAACAGGCTGCATCTCTACTTCTTTTCCACCACGTTCTTAATCCTAGTTTTGATTTCTCTTCCAAAGAGGTCACAAACTCCTCCTGATCATTTCTTAATCTTTGGGACTTCCAACTTTACCCCATTATATCAGACATCTTTAAATCATTCTACTTCATTTACTCCTTTAGTACTTACTGCATACTTTACACTGTCCCAAACTGTGATGTAAAGGAAATAAAAAACATGAACCCTCACCTTAGGAAATGAAGAAATATATAAAAGAACAATTATGTATTGGTTTCAAGGTAGTAAGGCTAGTCAAAAAAGGCCCTGTGACTGAAAATTATGGAGTAGATCTAGAAGTAAAGTAGAATTTTGAGGAGGAGGAAGGCAACCTTAGAACAGTGCAATTCTAGGCAGAAGCCATCTGAGGTAAGAGCTGCATAAAGGCCCTCTAACACTTCCCCCCAACCCTGCACATCTTTTTGTCTTCAAATTTTATTTCAGAATTAGGTACCCATGAATCTAAAGCTTTCTGTTACTATGATTTCCTATAGCCATCATATATTAAGCAACTCATAGAGGCCAATAGACCAGGTCCTGTGTTGGTTATCACAAAGCAGGCTGTTAGAATAATCTTAGGTGGACAGCCTTCACTAAGGAGTCTGGCATCTCGAGGGTCCTAGGTGCACAAAGACAGCTACCTACCCCTTGTTGGGTGTTAAAGATAAGCACTATTGCTCTTGCTCTGTCACACCCTTCAAGGGTCACCCAACTCCTGCTGAATATTTTGTTCATACATAGCTTTGGAACAGACAAAGCCTTTTAAAGTAGTGTGAAGCACTGAATTCCAATGTGAAACGGGGATGTTTAATGGTGATGCCAAAGATGCCCCCCTTTTCTGTGTTTGTCTGGAGCTCTCTCCTCTTTCCCAGGACTCACAGTTTATAGATCCTTTTCTCTGTAAAGTCTTTTCTATTCCCCTAAACTGAGGGCCCCTTCCCTGTGCTTCCATTAATAACTTAATGCATCCTTCTAGAATAGTGCTTACCACACCATGGTGTAATTATTTGTTTACATGTCTGCCTAGCCATAGGCTCTCTGACGACATCACCACTGATTCCACACTTAATAGGCACTCAATAAACATTTGTTCAATGTATTAATGAAGTTAATGGGAAGTTTTAAAGAATGGAGATGGGATACCAAAGTTATAGTAAGTATTCACAGTGAAGATTAAACTCCCATTATATATTTTTATTACGTATACCATTCCTAGCCAGAAAAAGGCCCAGAGATGTGAGATTGTTTTAATAGTGCTGGCCACTGACAGATTACCAGCAAAGAAAATGAGCACTTACAGTACTAAGAAAGAGCAAAAACTGCCATATCTGAGACATTTTCTAATTTGAGGGCTCATTCTCCTGCTTCTGGAATAGGTAAAATTAGTAATAAGAATCCTTTAAAAGCCAGGCATGGTAGTACACACCTGCAGTCCCAGCTACTCTGGAGGATGAGACAGGAGGATTATTTGAGCTCAGGAGTTAACAGCCTAAAGGCAATATAGTGAGACCCTGTATTTAAAAAAAAAAAAAAAGTTCTAAGAAAGGTCACTACCTCCACCGCTGTGGAATCTTGTGGCAAATTATGATTCACTACAACTCCTGCCGAATTATACAGGAAAGCTATTCACCTTCTTACTAAAACAAGTTAAGATTCTGCTAAGGGACAGGTGTCCGAATTAAGTCCTCAAAGAACCCTGTCACGATGTACAGCAGCACTCTAAATCATTCCTCACCACGGTTACTCATCTCTGAAGAGTCCCAGGCAAGGCAATAAATGGTGCTGTCTCAAGTGACACTCTCTGTAGTAATCCCATACCACACAAAGCAACTGTGTTTACAGGCTGCTATTAAGACATAAAATATGATCTGATCCTATAGGAACAAAGCCCTGCATTCCCTCAAGGGATTAATTTAGTCAACTTCTATACTCCCAAAGTTGTGGGGTCCAACAAAGTTGAATAAAGCACAAGGTCCAAAACGAAGCCAGGTAAAGGGATGAGGAAGGACTCTGCCTTCGAGGAGCATCTGCTGGGGGGAAAGATGTGGCTCCTGACATACAATGAATGGGATAAGCACTGTTTGAGGGCAAACCAGAACTGCTTTGCTGGCACACATGGCTCCTTGCATTTTATCATTCCAAAGAAACCAAGAAGCTCCAGTTAAAGTAATTTAGGTCTCCTAAAGAAAAAAATTTGTTTTGACCCCAGGCAAGAACAATCACCTGGCCAATATCTCAGCCAAGGTTCTTTGGCATTTTTCTTTCTGCTTCTACAGTCTTACACAACTCCAACTGTTGTTGTAACACCTGCATCCACATTAGTCACAACTTAAGTCTCTCACAGGTATGTAGTCCCACTATCTTCTTCAAAGAAGGGAAACTGAGTCATCACATATCAACTGGCTTCCTCAAGCACACTCTTGGTTTGTAGTGAAGTCACAGTTGAAGTCGGGCTGCCTTCCTCCTATTCACTTCCTGCGAGTACTCTGCATGCTCACCCTTGCTCTTTCTCCTTCAACCAAAACCAAGCCATTGCCTCCTTGAGGAGCAGAGGCAAGCACAGTTGATCTTTTAGAGTCAAGAGTTCTCTTCTTTCCCAAGAAAGAGGAAGATGAAAGAGGAACACGAGGCAGAAAAGGGTAGGGATGGAATGAAGTGGCTCTAACACTAGAACTCACCTTAGAGCTGAGGACCTCTCGCCGGTTTCCTGCCTTACTCCTGCGTAGTTTGATGGACGGGGATCGCAGCAGGTTCTTGATCCGGCTGGTAATGGTTGACCCTTCCACAGCCATCATGATAAGGAGGCCCTTGGGACAGTCCTTTAAGCAGTCTTGGGATCAAGAGTGGCACTTCCTTCCCACTCCACACGGCCTTCCAATCCGCCCTTTCACTGGCCTGAGATGGCAGAGGCCACCTTAGCATCACAGTAGGCATCTCATGCCTATCTGAGTCTGCAACTTTGACCTCTAGGTATTGCCCTCTCTCTCTCCCTCATCCTTTCAAGCCTTACGTGTTTTCTTACAACGCGGGAAGGCCAGCTCAGTGGAAACGGTGGGGGTTATCCTGAGCCATGGGGAAAAATCCTGAGCCGTCAAGAAATGCCAGGCCCACGCCTGTGAGGGGCGTTTGACTAAAGAGACGGGACAGGCTCCAGTAGGGGTGGTGGCTGGTCTGGTCCCCGTTAACGCTCAACTGTTCCCATGGCAACTGCGGTGTCCCAGGGCACCTGGGAGATCCCGGGGCGAGGCTCGCTCCCGCCCAGCAGCCCGTTTTGCCATAGGAGCCTCCCTCCCCCACCCCGACCCTCAGCAGCTCGCTCTCCGCCCTCCACACCCGCCTGTATCCTCTTCCACCCGCCCAAAAGCCCCTGCTACTCGTCAGCGCCCCCGCTCGGGCCCAGCCTCACCAGCCCTGGGGCACGAGGGCTGCCTGGCTCACAGCGCCCTCAGGCATCGCGCTGGGCGATTTCAACTCCGCCGCGACGGCGGCGGCAGCGGCAGCGGCAGCGACAGCGGCAGCGGCAGCGGAGGCGACAGCAGTGGCAGCAGCTATGGTGGCACAAGCGGCTCAAAACGCGAACTAGAGCCTGAGCCAAGCTTCGGGCTGGGAAGGCGGAGCCGACGCGAAGGGGTGCGGTCTGCCAGGAGGTCGTTTCCCTAGTGGACAAGCAAAGCTTACGAAGGCGGAGCCAATGCAAGGGTCTAGGAGGCTGAAGAGTTAGGACGCCCGAGCTACGGATTGCGCGCGGTATAATTGTGGGTACCGCTCTTAGAGGAAGATCAACAGAAGACAGCTTCAGAATTGAGAGATCCAGACCTTTTATGGTATTTTCAGGCCTGGGCCCCCTGAGAACTGCACTTTCCAGAGCCCCAAAATGATAGCCACGCCCCCAGAAGGGTTAAAGTTGGCATTTGGTAGGCCTGAGGGACCGTAGTTGAAACTAACTCCTAAATCAGAATTACAGGGTTGAAATAACAGCCAAAGCTCTGCTCCCATCCACCCTAAGCACTAGAATTTAAAGCGTTTGGAGTAGTTTCTAATCACGGCCGGCCTAGCTTGTTGACCCACGTGGAAAGGACTCTTCTGCGTAATCCAATTCAAATTGCTAACAACGGTGTTTTGAACTGGGTAAACTGATTGGTTTTGATGAAACAAAGGGAATACAGCTTTCAGATCGCAAAAAGGAAAAACAGGTGAACGTGCCTATGGGATATACCGTTACTTGTTTCATGGGTTTTGTTTTGTTTGCCTCTGAAGTTCTACACTGCGCGGGGTTAACTAGGACTTTGTTACTACAGAACTTTTCCTCAAATTTGTGAATACTTCCCCCTTATGACTGATATTGCCCAGGTCACGGCCAAGGTTCCTGGGTCTGGATTCAGTGGTATAGTTTTTCTAGCTCGTAGGGCTGGGGTAATATATGGAAATACAGTACTATGTATTTCACATGTAAGCTAAACAGCTCTAGTATTTTTCACCTGGATTATACTTAAAAGAAATTACATTATGGAAAGGTTAGTCCAAAAGACTTGGGCTTCGAGCCGGAAGTGGTGGTGCACGCTTGTAATTCCAGCAGTCCGGGAGGCTGAGGCAGGATCACCAAGAGTTGAAGGCCAGCCTAGGCTACATAGCGAGTTTCAGGGCCAGCCTGAACTATAAAGGGAAACCCTGCCTCAAAAAACCAAAAGAAAAAAAAATTAAAAGACTTGGGCTTCAAGAACAGTACATCGATGCTGTCTCAACCCTATTCAAACCTTTGCGATCCCTGAGATGACACGTTCACAAGAGAAAGCCCCTAAACTCATGGCTGTGGGGTAAACTATATGCAGCCAAATGACAAAACAGCATTGTGTGTACTGCAGTAATATATTAAAAGCAAGACTAATCTCGTAAGCACAAGGTCCCGAGTTCGATCCCCAGTACAAAAAGACTAATAAAGCTCACAGGTTGACATGGACATCAAGGATGTCACGTCCTGGAACACCAGGAGACAATAGCTACCAAAGGCAAAAGGCTTCTAATTTCCCAAATAGGGAGGAAGGTCGCAAGAGCCATTAGACATAATCCTAGAACCAGGTGATTCCTTTAACCTTTTTTGTGATTTGATTTTTCAGAAACCCAAACTGCTAATAGATGGTGCCACCTGGTGTCATTACTTCTGTGCTACAGACCCCAGCAAATGCCATCTCCACCCGTGAAACAATATAGCTGTGCCCACAGTAGTCCCAAATCCTCTGTAGTCACTTTTGTGTCGACTAATGGCTTTACAAAGTGCTACTTGTCATTTCTCCAGCAAAGCTAATTTAGCCCTTATAAAAAATGTTCCCCAAATTAACCTTGAAGCTGAAGCTGAAGCTACACTGGCAAAGCTAAACTGCTTTCCTTGTCTACAATCAAAAACTGGAGAATAGTGTAATGAGATTTAAGTCTAGAATCTGGATACTTCCAGCCCAAGACCAAAAGGACACATTTTAAATTCTTCCCCATCTAGGCCAACCTTGTCACACTGCCTGTGAGATGCCAATATGGTGACTTTTAGAGCTTTCAGTGATTCAGCCTGCTGTGGCATATGTGCCATAGGTTCCCCACCACTAGTATAAACTGTCCCATGCCTCATGAATTCCTCAGAAAGTCTCAGATTCAGTGCGAAGTGTTACCTACTTCTTCCAATACTTGCTACCCCACTCTAACGTGTTTCATCCTCCATACACTATTTTTTATTCTGCTGTGTAAACTGCTGTGCTAAACTTGTGTATAAGGTGTTTGCCAGACCTTGAAATCAGTTGGGAACAGACATTACACAATTGTCGTTTAGCATTGTGCCCCACCGCTTCAATACTAGGGATCAAACCTAGGGGCACTCTTATCATTGAGCTATATTCCCAGCCCTTTTTATCTTTAAATTTTGAGATAGGGTCTCAGTAAATAGGCTAGGTTGGTCTCAAACTTGTAATCCTCCTGCCTCAGTTGCCCAACTGAAATTACAGGTATTTTAGGCCTGTGCCACAATACCCAGTTTGGGTCAAATTTCTTAAACTGCCTTAGGCAAATAAGGGACAATTACAAGATCCTAGAAAACTAACAGGCCAGATTAAACATTTGCTCATCAAGCCAAATATTTATTGAGCACCTTTACATGCAAGGTACTGTAAGACAGCGGAGTCAATGACTGCCGTTGGAAACAGGATAAATCTCAAGACATTGCTTCCAAGGCTGCTTTCCTAGTTTACAAAAATCTCTTCAATTAGCAGGGTTTTACAATGATAGAATTTAATTGTCTGAAAATTTCTAACTCATCTCCCATGATTTAGCCCCCCTATCCTCCACACATAGCTCCATCACTATTAACAATTATGTACCTTGTACAGTAGTTATGTCCTATTTAACATATTAGTTATGTCTGTTTTTTTTTTTTTTTTGGTACCGGGGATCGAACTCGGGTCCTTGCACTTGCTAGGCAGGCGGCAAAACCACTGAGCTAAATCCCCGGCCCTAGTTATGTCTGTTTAAAGGTTATATATATCAAATTATTTTCCTTTATGCCAAATATGCATTTTAACTGATTTTTCAATTGACAATAGGTCTGTTTTAATTTTTTATGAATTCATGTCCACATAAAATTTAAAAACCAACAATACAATGGCACAAGAATCTTGATGCCCTTATAGGACTATTCAAAACTAATGATTCTGCACAGGAACTGTATCATTTCTTGATTATCAGTTGTTCTCCGTAAAAATGTGAAGATGTGCTGCCTATAATGTGTGAGACCTATTTTGTTTTTTAAATTCTGGGAGTGAGAGACAAGCGCTATCACTATTTTCTAGACCCTTCTTCAAAGTATATTTACCTCTCAATTCACTTCACCCCATTCTGAATACTGTATGTCAATCAGTTATAGCCATAAAAAACTATACCATACCATAACAAAAATAATACATAGATTGTCTGCCTTTGACCTGTGTTCAAAATATTTTCAAACCTGTTACAGAAAGGTCTCACACCAGGGATTTCATCCATAATTCTGAGAAGAAAAATTGTATTTGTTATAAAATTATACAAATGAAAACTATGTATGAAGCTTATATAACTGAACTTGATTTGTTAGTGATCTTAAATAGATTAACAGTAGCTCAATATCAAAAGGTCTCCTTTAGGCTGGGGATTTAGCTCAGTGGTTTTGCCACCTGCTGTGCAAGCGCAAGGACCCAAGTTTGACCCCTGGTACAAAAAAAAAGGTCTCCTTTAATAAAGCTGTAAATCATGTAGAACTGTAAATATGAAACTAGTTAACATCTTGCCTTAAGAACACTTATTATTCTTAGCTATGAGATTATGTCCTATTAATTCCTCAAGATAACAGATAAATTGCCTTGTACACAGTGGGTACCATGAGGTTTTTTATGTAGAATGACTTTTTTTTTTCCTGGTATGGAGGATCGAACTCAGGACCTTGCACTTGCTAGACAGATGTGGCACCACTGAGCTAAATCTCTGGCCCTAGAATGACTTCTAAAACAAGTACATGTCAAGTTGTACACAATTTCCAAGTCTCTTTGGTAAGACATGCCACAAGGACTAGAATACTAAAAAGCTCTCCCAAATGGCATGTCAGAAACTTTGAGAATGGGAAGGAATTCCTATGATAAAACTTCAAAGGCACCTTCTCTCAAATATGTCTCAGGGCATTAAGCATTCTCTACTCCAATTTGGCAAAAACCTCCCAACAGCAAGTCCTGCTTTAATTAGTATACCTGATTTATTTCAATCACCAAACAACTTCTGTTCTTGTTTCTAAAAAAATAGTCACTTTCAAAAGCAGAAAAGGAAAGATATATATTTAATATATAAAAGAAAATGCTAAATCTGACATAATTATATTCTTAAAAACATTCCATTTATTTACAGATGTATAAAAAAGGTGAATTATTGGTCTACTGAGATCATGCGTCTTATAGAGTTAGGGTGAGAGCTGTCTTCCAGGTTTCTCAACTCTTCTTACTCAACTTCATCTTTCATAATCACACATGTAATTTTCATAGATCAGTTTCTTCTGGGGTAAGATTAAAGGGTAGGAGTTTTTGGAGATTTTAGATTTCTGTGAAGACTGCAGGATTGTTCTGAAGACTCAGCCCTCCTTAAATTAGCCCTGATAACTTCTAGATCTGTCTTGAGAACACTGTGTCTTGGGGCAGGGGGTGTTGCAATGACATCTGCAGCCTCCTTGAACACCTGGAATACCTCATTTCTATCTCTGTACATCTCTTATACACACAGCCAAGTGTTCAAGAATTGACCTGGACCTGTTTTCTTCTAAAAAGGGAAAGTGTTCAAAAGTGAAAATGGTCCTTCTTTTCCTGAGGATTATTCACTCCCTTGCCTGCTCCTTGGCTGATCCTCAAAAGCCACAAGAGCCTTGGGAAGTCAGGGGCAAAGTGGTGAAGAGACAAGCAATAAAACAATGGGAAACTACTATACCCAGGTTAAAGAACAGGCATCTCCAATGACTATCAGCAAGGGAGATAGGTGCTAAACTCCTTGACTAAGGCATTGAATAAAATCTGCTGGGTAAAAGGGACAAGGAGAAGCTGAGAAGCACTCTTTGAACTACTTCAAGCTTCCTCAGTAGGGAGGGAAGGTTAAGTGCCAATGGACAGGTGTAGAAAGGCAAGTAGCACAAAACCAACGAAGAATTTGTTCTCTCTGCAGTTCGCAGAGGAAGCCTTCCTAACCTTTTAGATCAGTTGATGACCAGATTAATGGAAAAGGAGTCATTCATGGAAGTAATAATTCACTGGCTAATCCATTCCAAAGCTACTCTCACAACCTAGGTAGGAAGATATGCTGAGTGGGACCTGGATAAGGAAGGCAGGAGGATGCAGAAGAAACATTACCTAGGCACAGCCCAGGAAGTGGAAGCTCTTGTGTTAGTGTTTTACAACACAAGCAAATCCTGTCAGTGAAGACAGAACAGGGGTTACATTCCAAAATATAATTATTTAAGAAAGGCAAAATGCAGCAGCTAAATCTCAGTCTATACAATTTCAGAATAGTGATTCTTGCTTCTAGGAGTTTCCAAGAGACCCCTCAAGTGCACCATGATTATTTACAAACTAGATAGGAAACATCATTTCTATACTCAATACAAATCTCATCTTCTAGGTTGAAAACTTCAGCCTTTGAGAAATCTATGAAAACAACTATACAAAAATATAAATATCTTTATCTTTACAGGCTGTCAGTTCTTCATACCCTGACAGCTAATGAGTGAAAAAGCTCTACAGATCATTGAATCCATGATAGCAGATAAAAAATATATCTTGTGATTCAAATACTGCCTTATTTCCCTGGTAGAGTGCCTACTATGACTTCTCTTTTCTTTACATCCTGTGCAGGTAATAGCGAATGAAACCTTCAAGCACCAGGAGGCTGGTTTGATTTGGGAAACATCCAGCCCCACAATTTTTTATTTTGGCCACTATCTCTGGTCTGGTGGGAGAATGCTTTCATTTTAGCTATCTCTTGAGTGATGTGTTTTGTGAAGGGGGAACCGTGCCCTCCTTACCTACCTCCAAAGTATGTATTACTGGTAGAAATCCCTGTCAATAGGAAATTATCTTTCAATACCCACAAAGACAGTAAGGGAGAACTATGGTTTTTAGCATCTCAAAATAATCACCTTGATAGTAATAAAGTTAAAAGACCCCTACTTCACCAGAAGGCTTGCATTTGGAATTCTGATTGAAATGATGAGGGAATGGAAGCTACATAGGATATAAAAGAAGATAAAATTTTGCCAAATGACATAAAATCCTTCACTTTGGTATTCCATGGTACACATCCTATCTCAATTACTGAAATAACTTAAAATGATCTCTTCTGAATCCCTTTGCACAAATGCATCACATTCCTTAGATTTTAGATTTAACCCAACAGCTATCAGCTACAGTTCAGTCCAAAGCAACTTCAAAGTCTCACGCAGCTTCTTCTCTTGGGGAGTTGGGAGCAGGGGTCAGGGGAACTAAGTACCGCTATGGAGCCAGTCTTGAATAAATTCCTTGGGTAAGGGGCACCTCATGTTCAGTAATGGATCACATCTTCTCAGAGAGGATTAGAGGACCCAGCACCACAAGTGAGGTAACACATTTTAACATGATCAGAATCTCATACTATTTTTTATACCAGGGTCAGCACCCTACCCCCTTTCTCTATCATCTACTACACCATCCAAGTTGAGAATCATAGGTCCATGATACAAACAGATGCCTACAGAGAAAGGAAGTGAGGTTCAATTTCCCCTCACAGCCTGGTTTCAAACAAGTTCATTTCCCTGAAGAACTTGGTGAGACCCCAGAGGTGCCTAATTTAGCCATAATAGGTGCCAATGTAGGCATCACCTTGCTCTCCCGGCCTTCCTGGTCACTCCCTGTTAAGTTCATTTTATGTCCAACTGACCCAACTTTAGCAGCTACAGGTGCCAAACAAGGCATCACCTTGAGAGTCTGACCATCTGCATCACTGGGAGGATTAGCTACTTTTAAACCTAAAGGTGCTAACTTTGGCATAGGCCTCCACAACGTATCTGTGTTGCTATTCTCTAGGCCAGTCTTCATGTGTAGGATGGGAGGTGAGCATACACTTTCAGGTTCTGCAGAGAGACCAGAAGTACTCTTCCCTCCATCACTACATTTCCTGTGAGAAAGAAATGAATCCTTTATCTCAGAGTCAATAACAATCTTAAGAACATCTGGCTCAGAGGCTGTTTCTACAAGTTGTTTTTCATTCTCAGAAAAATCATCATCTTCCAAGTGCAAAAGGAGGGGGCTGATGGAGTCACTCTCCCCTTGATCATCAGGCAACTCTTTCAAATCTGTTCCCAAGTGGCCAACCTGGAAAGGTGCTCTGTTCCCAGTAGGAAGCTTACTGATAAAAGCCTGCTGAGCATCCTCTGGGAACTCCGTATCCATAGAGGTGGGCAGTTCAGCAAGACTGACAGAGTCATCATTTAGCTGCTGATTAAGAAAGGCAATCTCATTGAGCAGTGAAGTCAGTGTCTCATCGGTATCATCATCATCTTCCATGTTAGTTAACAGTTCGCTGGGATCAAGAGCTGCTTCCTCTATAGCTGATGCTACTTTCCGCAGTTCCATCTCTATGGTTGAATCCTTGAGATCTTTCATCTTTGATTTATGAAATGGAGATTCCTTTGACTTCAGTCTCTCTCCTCTTGATTCACTCTCCTTCCATTTATACCGATTCCCTCTTACATCACCTGAAACCTTTTTAGGTAAAAACTCCTGTGTTTCCTGCATACTGGAAACATCAACTATTTGTGAAAAATCAGAATCTTTATTTGCCAGAAAAACCTGTGTTGGACCCAATGCCATTCGGCCATCTCTGTGGTTTCCTCTGGAAGAGACTCTATTGGAATCCTCTGAGTTTTCTTCATTCCTGACAGTGTCTTTCAGGTGATCAGATATCTTGCCATCAGGAACTTCATGAGGATATTTGCTGCTACCCATATCTACCAAACCACCTTCTGTGGCCAGTGAAGTCACATTAACAATTCGTGGCATCATAAATAAGTCATCATTTTCTGAAAAATAAAATTAAAAAAGAAAAATTCATTTAGATATACAGCAGTGGACATGACTCTCTTCCCTACCACCACCAATTATACCAAATGACTATCTTGATATATGGTCAAAATTCACTAGTCTATTTTTGTCAAAAAGATGAAACAACCAAATAAAACCCAACGAAAAGATTCTGATATTGCATCATCAATAAAAGTTCCATTTAGCTGGATATAGTGGCGCATGTCTATAATCCCAGCACCTGGGAGGCTGAAGCAGGAGGATCACCATGAGTTCGAGGACAGCCTGGGCTACACAGTAAGTTTGAGGCCATTCTGGCTACGTACATAGTGTGTTTAAGGCCAGCCTGGACTGCATAGTGAGACCCTGTCCCAAAAAAGTTCCATTTAATAAGTTTACAGAACTGCTCCCCCAAGCTAATTCTAGTCCAAGGGCAGAAATGTGTCTGATTCTTAATTCATCCAATTAACTGTTACTCTGAGGGGAAAATGAAGCCCTAGGTAGCATGGTAAGGGAAATAAGAGTATTTCTCCAGATTGGACTTGGCAGCAGGAAACAAGAGCTACTGTTGGCAACGTCAACAAAGTAACTAGGACTTTAATACTGGTGAAGATATTGTTACCTTAAAAGAAATTTAGGTATCTGAGACCTAAATTATAAAATGAGACTTCCTTTTAAACTTTGTCCTTTTACTCTAAAAACGAGTGGTCCTGGGCCCAGGGATTTAGCTCAGTGGTTCTGCCACCTGCCTCGAAAGCGCAAAGACCCAAGTTCAATCCTCAGTACCAAAAAAAAAAAGTGGTACTCAAACTGAATCATGCCGATAAAGTGGGAATGCACAATTTCTGAGTATAACACAAAATTGATAAATATTTTTCAACACCAAGAACTAAGACAATAACCCCTCAACATCTTCCTTTCACTGTGGTATCTTTTATTTTTCTACTTACAAATAACCAGAGTTCACAAAATAGTTCTCAATCCCAGGTAAAACACACCAACTAATACCACAGATTAAGCCAGATTCATTCTAAAAAGACTATTACTAAGGCAAATGTCAATAGAAGAGCTACCTCTTAATGATTATCAAACACATTCAATGACTTTCTCTGTCACTGAGATACTAGGGGTAACTTTTTTCACTACCCACAGAAGACAACATGACACACCTGACTGAGCCATACTACTGCTGGCAACTTGAGGCTTCAGATCAGCTTCTAGGAGAGCAGGAGAAACAGTTACCACTGGTCCTGAGAACAAGGGACCTTTTAAGGTAAGCAATTGCCCTTGAGGAGTCATCACGAGGTTGGCAGAGGTGTGTGGAGTACTAGAGGGAGAGGTGTTTTCTACAAAGATAAAAAAAAATTACAGATAAAAGATCATATTTTCACTTAAAGGCAAGAAATACATCTCAAATTTAGAGAAACTAAATATAGAATTTACTTAGGGTAAATTGAACCACATTTAACTGAGTAATGGTTACCTGTCCAATGATTCTCCTAAGGGAGAGAATTTGTTGATGAACACAGCTGTGAAAATACTTTTTACAATGGGATACCATTGATAGTCTTTTTTTTTTTTTTTTTGCCTCTGATAGTCTTTGTTTTTTTCTTTTGGTACCTGGGATCGAACTCGGGACCTTGCGCTTGCAAGGCAGATGCCAGAACACTGAGCTAAATCCCTAGCCTTTCTGATAGTCTTAATATCATGTCAGGAATATATAATTAATTCTATTCCTAGTCTCCCTTTCCAATATATCTCTAACAAACTAAGTTTCTATTGCTTAGTTTTTCCATCTGTGAAATGAGGAAGCTGGTTACTAAATTTCTTTCTAGCCAGGTGTGGTGGCACACACCTGTAATCCCAACACTTAAGAGGCTGAGGCAGGAGGATCACCACAAGTTGGAGGCTAGCCTGGGCTACATAGTGAATTCAAGGGCAGCCTGAACTATATAGTGAGACTTTGTCTCAAAACAAAACAAAACTAACACACTCAACGTTTTAGAGATTTTAGTGTCCATCTGATCTGATATAATAAACCAGATTTTCTGGTTCACTTATTTCCAAAAATAAAGATTTTAAAGCAAATTTCCTTTGTTCCTTAACAGATCTGATGAAAAACAGACCTTGATTCAACAAAACTAAATTTTTCCTTCTTTTTTTAAGCCATGGTTATGTTGCAGGGCAGTTCCAAACTCCTAGGCTTTAAATGATCCTGCCTCAGTCTCCCATATACCTGGGACTAAAGGTGACCACCATGGACAGCTCATAATTTAAAGAAAAAAAATTTTTTTTTTTTTGGTACCAGAGATCGAACTCGGGACCTTGTGCTTGCAAGGCAGGCACTGGAAGCACTGAGCTAAATCTCCGGCCTGAAAAAAAAATTGTTTTTTGTACCAGGGATCAAACTTGGCTCCTTGCGCTTGCACAGCAGCCAGCAAAACCACTGAGCTAAAATCCCCGGTCAAAAAAAATTTTTTTTGAAGACAGGGTCTCACTATGTAGTTCAGGCTGGCCTTGAACTCACTTTGATCCTCCTGCCTCAGCCTCCCAAGTGCTGGGATTACAGGTATGCGTGACCATGCCAGGCTAAAATGAAAAAAAAAATTTTTTTTTTTTTGAGGATCAGGGATCAAACTCGGGACCTTGCACTTGCAAGGCAGACGCTGGAACCACTGAGCTAAATCCCTGGCCCTAAAAATTTTTCATTTTAGGGCCGGGGATTTAGCTCAGTACCTAAATGAATAAATAAATAAAACGAAAATGTTTTAACAAAATTTCCAAAGTACTTTGTCAACCAATCAGCAGAATTGCAGAAAAATCACAATGTCATATATAAAATCTGAAAAGATTGTAGCTTATAAACTTACTAAAAATATATAACTGTAGATGGCTATCAGAAGTAGGGCTTAATGTTACAATGACTAGGTTATTTAACTTCTTAGGGTTTTCTTGAGTATGTGAAGCCAGGAACTGAAACCTAATGTAGTTCATATTCTACTTTTCATACAGCTCATCTTTAATTAAAACTGGAACACTATCATTGGCCAAGAGAAGACATTCAATCCACTTCATTGATCTTCATCTACATTAAGGAAAGCAAAGAATGTCCCTCCTACCTGTGGCCTGGTCTCTTTTTCTGGAAAGGATTAAAGGTTTCCCCCTCCTGTTATTAATAAACATCTGTCCGAGATCTAAAGATGATGTAGAAGATCCTTCCTGCTGTTTGCTAGTTCTGGGAGACTCATCAAACTCATTTGATCCCATCTTCTTTTTTCTTTTTTGAGCCTCTAGTGCTTGTTGTTTTGCATAAATATACTCTAGCTTCTTCAGGACCACTTCTTCTGTCTTACCTACAGGTTGATAAGGAATAAATTATCACTCTTTTCATGACCCCACATAATAATGAGAAATAGAATCAACTGAAACCCAGTTGATTTAACTATATTCCCCAAAACTATGGAAGGCAAGAGTGATTATAATCCAGAAAATATGCTTTACTCACTGAAAAGATAGCTCTACTGTAAACTTAAGGAACCAACCTTAAACTAAGTAGTATCTGAAAGGTCTACTGAGGATTTCATGACAAAGGTGTTATGCTCTTTAACAAACACCATTTACATATCTCACCTGAAAGAGATGATACCTTTCGTATCAGGATATTCCGTTTTCTAGTCAGGAGATTTTTCTGTCCTATCAGTTTGTCTGCCTGATCTGTTAGTCCCTGAATTTCACTGAATGCCTAGGATAAAAACAGTAAATTACATTAATCGATCCACTCTTTCTTAAACAAGGAGGCTTACAAATTTCTTTAATGAAAAAATTTTAAACCAGTATTTTAGAGAACCTTATAAATGCCATGTAAAACAACTATGTACCAAAAATCGTTAAACTGTATGAGGTTTGTTAGCTTATATTTGCAGGGAAAACAGATAATGATTATTTCTGAAGAGCATTACTGAGAGTCAAACAGATGTTCTACTGCAAGGAGACAAGAAACACTCATATTCTGCTTAGATCTTAATCAAATTTAAAATAATCTCAGTGGGGTGTAGTAGTCTGCACTTGTAACCCCAGCACTGAGGAGCCTGAGAAAGGAGGATCACCACTGAGTTAGAAGTCAGCCCAGGCTATATAGTGAGTTCAAGGGCAGTCTGAACTACATAGTGAGACCCTGTCTCAAAAAACCAAAATTAAAAACACTGCCCTAGAGGGATATGTTTACCCTGTACTTTGCCAACTTCTACTTAAAGGAATTTAAATGAAACTGTCTTAAATATTCTATCTGCAAAGGTGAAATTTCTGCTAGCTTTAATATTTCAGATTTTCTTTTAAAATGCTGCCAATAGCCGGGTATTTAGCTCAGTGGTGCCACCACCTGCCTCACAAGTGCAAGGTCCTGAGTTCGATCCCCAGTACCAAAAATAAAATAAAATAAAATGCTGCCAATTGTTAAATATGTTAAAGTATCACTTTTGGTGTGGCTTTACACTGTGATAAACTGTTCTAGGTGTTAGTGAAAACAATTTATAGGGCTGGGGATTTAGCTCAGTGGTTTTGCCAGGCACCTGCTGCACAAGCACAAGAACCCGAGAACGATCCCCGGTAAAGAAAACAATTTATAGAGAATATGGTAAGGCCAGGGATTTAGCCCAGCGGATTTAGCTCGATCCTTAGTACCAAAAAAAAAAAAAAGAGTAGAGAGAATATGGTAAACATAGTCAACCAGTGTTTGACTTTATTTGAAGGAAGGATAGTTCTGTCAAGCAAGAACTTAATTTTCAGTGAAAAGCTATTCTGACTCAACATAATAATTTTCTCACTAAGGGACTTACTAGGCATTCACTAGTCCACACCAATCTCCCTCATATGACAATGGGTCTCCTTTCTCACAGCATGTGTAAGATTCCTCTTCAAGGTCTTCTTTGTTGTCATTTACACAAAACCCTTACTTACCCGAGTAAGAATGAGACTTTTGGAAACCTTGGAAGAATGAAGTAATCCCAATGTGATCTTCAATTTTTCAAAGAGATCTCTCATTTCACCACGCCGCCGCCGCTCATTGGCAGTATGTGTCCGTCGATAGTAAGCAAAAGCTTCTGCTTCTTTCTGTAGTTTGTCACTCCAGTAATCAGGTTTCAGTTTTAGAGGAACTGGTGGAGCCTGTCCAAACAAGACTGCCTCAATATCTTTCACATGAAACCGTTCCTCCTCTTCCATCCCCAATGGCACTCACTGCTCTATTTCAGGTACCCATTACTATCTGTCTGGAAAACTGCTGCAATCATTCAACTACTCATCTTGCTACTATCTTGTATTCTTCCTCCAAATCTTTTTTTTTTTTGGTACTGGGGATAGAACTCAGGACCTTGCGCTTGTTGAGGCAGGTGGCAACACCACTGAGCTTTAAATCCCCAGTCCATCCAAATCTAATTTCAACAATGCCAGCAATGTATATTCTAATACATGCTAATGTAATCAGATCAATTCCTAGCTCAAATTTCAGTGGTTCTCAAATGAGAAAAAATCTAGGAGGGGGATAGGGGATTGGGAAAACATTACTTATACAATTTAATAAAATCTGTTTTCATGACACCAATTATACATGAAAAAAAGTACAATCTTGACTGCTAGAAAAGTCACTTGGCCTTTCTCAGTTTGTTTTTTGTGTTTTTTTCCCTTTTCAGTTTAATAAAAGATCACCTAGGCCGGGGATTTAGCTCAGTGGTTTTGTGCCTGCCTCGCAAGAATAAGGACCCAAGTTTGATCCCCGGTACCAAAAAAAAAAAAAGACCACCTGCCACTAATCTAAATAATCTTTCTCTCCAACTATTCCTGTTAAAAACTTCCTGCCGGGTGTGGTGGTCCACGCTTATATATTTCAACACTTGGAAGGCCAAGGCAGGAGGATCACTGCCAGTTTGAGACCAGCCTGGGCTATGTACTGAGTTCAAGGCCAGTTTGGAATCCTGAGAGACCCTGCCAAAGAAAGAAAGAAAGAAAGAAAAGAAAAGAAAAGAAAAGAAAAGAAAAGAAAAGAAAAGAAAGAAAGAAAAAATTCCCCAAACACACCCACACATCCCTGCAATTACACAGGCATTGGTCTGCACCTGATGAGTCTTACTTCCTCCCTCCCAATCCTTCATTTAAATTTTAACATTTGAAACTCAAATTCTGTACTTTCTGAAGAAAATCTTCTTGACCCTCAGCATGCCTTAGGGCTCCTTTATCTTATTCTATTTCTATTTCAATTTTTTAACTCTCTTATAAAGAAGTTATGGATACACACAAGGTTCAAAATACATGAAGAGCTTATAGTGAAATGAAAACATGCCTCGTACCTATACCCATATCCTCAAAAACAACTCTTATTATTCTTTTAATGGCCTCTTCTGGTTCTTAAACAGAATATATGAAGTTACTTTTTTCCAGTATCAATAATAACTACTGATTTGTTGCTATGTAGATGGGGATTTAGTGCATACTACTCTTAACATCTTGCCATTCCATCTAATACACAGTTATATCATTAAGTTTAGTTCTTCTGACATCTTAGCAATTTGAATGTAATTATTCTGTTTGCTTTGTCAATAATAAAGTGTGTCTTGCCTTTCTTTACAAAATGAGAATATCCAACATCTATATCCTTCATGTCTTCTTCCCTCTTTAACCTAATTTGTGCTTTATATTTACACAATTTTCAAGAATGAAATTAAATCTTCCATATTTTACTCATAGATTGTTACAAAAAAAAATCACAGCACTTAAGCTATGACATTGTAAATATTCACAGAAAGTGAATCATAATTAATTTCTTGTCTTACTACAGTTTTCTGTTTTTCTCTCTGAAGTTTCTGTCCTTTTTTTGGGACACTGTTTGTTTTTATCATGCCCCAAATCTCTTAAGTAAAACCACTGTCTTCCTAAAGTTAAATCCACTGTGCATTAAATAGTAAGAAAGAATAGCTGGGTGTGGTGGCACACATCCCTGTAACCTCCAACACCCCCATGCTCAGGACTGAGTCAGATCATGAGGCCAGCATCAGCTATATGGAAAGTTGAAGGCCAGCCTGGACTACATAGTGAGACCCTATGTTTTTTTGTTGTTGCTTTTTTTTAAGTACCAGGGATCAAACTCAGGACCTTGCGCGTGCGAGGCAGGTGGCGGCACCACTGAGCTAAATCCCTGTCCCGAGACCCTGTCTTTAGAACATAAAACAATGTATAGCCAGGGATTTAGCTCAGTGGCACCATAACTGCCTTGCAAGTGCAAGGTCCTGAGTTTGATCCCTGGTACCAAAAAAAAAGTGTAGAAGAATAAAAGATTCAATAAGACAGGGGGGAAAAAACCCAAATTTAAGTATAGCAAACCACTGTAAATATTTACATGAAATAATCTGGATATTAAACAATGGATTATATAAATAAACTGTTCTGAAAATTCCTGTACCTAAAAAAGAATTTAGAATGAAAAAATATCAAATGAGTAACATAGGCAAAATGATTACAACCACAGAAATATGTCTTATATAGTTATCTCCAAATCAGATCAATGCCAAAGCAGTCACGCTGTGGTTTCTGAACAGACTAGAATTCAAATGCCATCTTCCAACCCAATTCCCATCACTGTCTTTTCTCCTTTAAGAGGATAGAATATAAATGGAAAATAGTTTACCACCTACTCTTTCATTCCTATTGTTAGAGGAGAATCCTTGCTTAACTATGCTATCTGGATACCATATGATGAATACATTTATAAAATTAAAGGATTATAATTCCCTGGCTCCTTGAACTGCTAGTCATGGTTATAGAGAGCAGATTTTAGGCCACTGAAAATCATGAACCTAGTCAAAGAAGAATGCCAGGTGTCTCACATCAAATCATTATGGTATAGGATTAGTTTTCAAATAATTATTTTCATAAATTTCATACCCATTTTAAGTCCTCCAAATTATTTGACCCTCTTGGAAGGGTGCAATTAAGAGGGAAAAAACCACATTAATAATTTTATTATCGAGGGCCAGGGATTTAGCTCAGTGGTTCTGCCGCCTGCCCCACAAAGGCAAGGAGCCGAGTTCGATCCCCAGTACCAGAAAAAAAAAATTTTTATTATGGAGGACAAGTTGATTATGCTGGTAAAATCACCCTTTAAAAAATCACTGTTGGGCTGGGGATTTAGCTCAGTGGTTCCACCACCTGCCTTGGAAGCGCAAGGTCCCAAGTTCCCCCGGTACCAAAAAAAAAAAATCATGGTTAATATAGCTAGTGTTGTTTCAATCCTAAGACAAATACTATCAATTTTATTAAATGAGTAATTTTTAGTAAACATATTCTAAATACCTTTCGACTTCTTTCAGTAGTTTTTTCATCTGCAGGTGTACGGCACCTAGACAAAGACAGTATTGTTTAATATCATACTGAAATTCAATAATCTAGAACCTATTTCACAGGTACATTAAACCATGCCATCTCAAACTGTTTAAATTATGGCCAAATTATTTCCAAGATGTAATAGATACCAAATTGTTTATACAACAGTTTACTTGTTTCCTCTAAGTACAAATATTCATTAAAACTACAAATTATCGGGCCGGGGATTTGGCTCAGTGGTTCCAGTGCCTGCCTCACAAGCCCAAGGTCCCGAGTTCAATCCCCGGTAACAAAAAACAAAAACAAAAACAAAAAACCCCTACAAATTATCTTCACTCATGAAATGATTTCAAATATATAAAACTGTAGAAATACAAGTATACCTTATACAGCCTGAGAAATATCCCCAAACGAAGATCCTTTGTGCATTCTATTTGGTCACATTCCCTTCCTTCTCAAAGGTTAACATTCCTGAACTGAGTTTAAATGTGTATCTTCACAGTTTTGCTAGGAATACCACTTTAAGTAACACATATTACATCTTCCTATAACTGATTTGTTTCACTCAGCATTACACCTGAGATACTGATACACAGAATTCTAATTCAATTATCTAGCTGGGCCTGATGGTACATGTCTGTAATCTCAGCGGTCAGAAGGCAGAAGCAGAAAGATTTCCCGCAGTTTGAGGCCAGCTTGAGCGACACAGTGAGCTTAACGCCAGCCTGAACTACAAAGCAAGATCCTGTCTCAAAAAAACCCCTAAATAAATAAATAAATGAATGAATGAATGAATGAATGAATGAATGAATAATTGGTGGGGGGTTATCAGGGCTCGAACTTGGGTCCTTGCGCTTCCAAGGCAGGCGGTGGAACCACTGAGCTAAATCCCTGGCCCTGAACAAATATTTTTAACTGGTAGTCACACTGCAAATTCTACACCCAAAAAATTTTTTTCCTGAATGTTAGTAGTTATTTAGGTTGCTTCCAAATCTTCAAAACAGCAACCAATGTTGCAATGGATAGTCCCTATGTTACCCCTTGTAAGTATGTGTGAACTTTACTATAACATAACCTAAGAGTTGAATTGCTAGGTACAAGAAAGAAGTATGCACATCTTCAATTTTAGTAGATGTCAAATCATATTACTCTACATCTAGATAATAGTACTATCAGAAATTTCCATTTTTTGCCAATCATATGAATGTGAACCAGTAGTCATTGTGGTTTAATTTCCATTTCTCTAATAACTTGTAAAGTTAAACAAATTTGTATGTGCTTACTGGCCTTTCAGGTTTCCCCTTCCCTGAACTTCTTGCAATATACATTACTTACTTTTCTACTGGATCATCTTTAAGACTTATCCTTTGTCAGTTATACATAATTGCAATTAATTTTCTTATAGATTGGTTTGTCTTTTCACTATTTTCATGATGTTCTGATATAATTTAAGAATTTTTAACCCTTTATTTTTAATTAGACTTAAAAATGAGAATCTTAATAGGGGAAGCTAGTGCTGGGAATTAAACTCAGGGCCTCAAAGGCAGGCTAAATGTGCACTATACCACTGTAACCTCAGCTTCTTCAATTTGTCCTTTTATAGTCTGTGCTTTGTGTGTTGGTTTTTACTGGCCCTTTATTATTCCAGTCTATTAACATAGTTTATGTTTCTACTTACTGAATTTTTCTTCAATATGTTTTAATACGTAATTTCTAAAAAGTATTGCAGATTTTTTTAGATATATTCCCAAAAAGCTTTTTCCCGTTTCTGTTGTAAAAGTTATTTTTTAGATTTTTTGCTTTTGTTTCTGTTATTTTCTTAGCTTTCCATGTCTGTTTATAGTGTTTAGAAACTCAGTTTTAATTATGTGGGAACTTCATCATCCAGCAACACTGCTGAACTTACTAATGAGGTAATAGGAAAAGAAAAGATCTGGCACAAAATATCAAGTATCTTCTTTCCCTTCTCTCTCACATTCCAATCCCCAATCGATACAAGATTTACTAACAAAGAAAATGAAATAATATTCCTGAGCAAGTCTTCATGCCCTTCGTATTTTCATCTCATCAGTGGAATAAGATGATTTTCATAACTGTATCTTACCTGTTCAACTAATAACCAAATGTAGAATCCAATGCCCTATTCTTAAAAGATAAAGGATTATCTTTTATTAAAGTAATCTGTTTGCTTTAGTTATTAGGCTGGTTGCATATATCATTTAACATTTCACTTTCCTCATGTCATAGGTAAACAACCTGAGGTTAAAACCCTCAGATTTGAAAGACTAGCCCACTGGCTCTCAACAGTAATCTCAGCACTCAGGAGGCTGAGGCAGGAAGATCCCCGCAAGTTCAAGGCCAGCCTGGGCTACATAGTGAGACTGTCTCAAAAACACCAAGACCTTAAATTGAGAGAGATTCAAGACTTGCCTAAGGTTAAATACCTAAAACTAGCAAAACTAGTATTTTTATTTCAGTACATCTGGCTCAAAAAGCATGTTATTTACATTACACAGTGTCTCCTAGCAATGACCAAAGCTTACCTCCTAATCCCAACTTCTCTTCTCATCTATACATATCAGAAAAAAAGAGCAATAAGGAAACCAGATCTGATAACTAGAACTCCTAAACAGAGTATCTAGTTTTCTTTCTGACTATAAAGCAATGACAACAACCAAGAGATAATAAATAAAACTTACGACTGTTTGAATGATTGTGTGTGAGCTGCTGTGGTCTTTTTGTAGGAAACATTAATTTCCTCTGAGAGCTCTTCTACAGTTTCAATGTCCACATGCTCTTCATCATCCTCAATGTATTCTATACAGTTACTCTGAAATACATCATTACAACAGTAAATACTATGCTGGGAGGCACACATACCCCAACTTTTCAACTGCAAGCCTCCTTACTAAACCAACCAAACAGTGCCAAACACTGATCTTACACCATGAGTACTCATAATCCTAAACTTGCTAATCATAATCTTAAAAAGGAATTAAGCCAGAAGGACAACATGATTAAACAAAGAAAAACTATGTAAGTCATAGATCTGTATTAAACAGACACATTAATCCTTAGTATGAACAGAGTCCCCAAAGGGCTGTACTGATGCTTCACTATTATTTCTAGAAGTCCAAATTTAGTTACGGATGTATTATTTTACTTATTTTTTGTGGTACTATGGATTGAACCCAGAGCCTTGTACACATTAGGTAAATGCTCTACCACTGAGCTACATCCCCAGCTCTTTATTTCTATTCCGAGACAGAGTTTCACTAAGTTGCCCAGGGTGGCCTGCCACAGCCTCCTGGAGCAGTTAAGCTGGCTCTATAAAGCTTAAGATCAAGTAACAGTAAGATAAAATTTGGAAAGAAAAAAAATTCTACTGAGGGGGTACAGGTATAACTCAGTGGTAGAGCATACGTTTAGCATGCACAAGGCCCTGGGTTCAATCCTCAGCACCAAAAGAAAAAATTCTATTTTAAGCGAACTTCATGACCAAACATATCAAATGCCCCAAATCAACAAACATTAACATTTATAAGGTAGGTATGAAAAATAATAGAGCCGATTAGTCTTCTAATCTTCTCGTCTTAACCACACAGAATGGCATCTAATGAGGAATTCGGGTTTTAAAAGAAACCCAGATTGGTGTACTTCCTATAACTAAAATGGCCCTAATCAAGTTGACATTTAGTGAGCACTTATCATAGAAATTCACTATTTTATATAACAATAGAATTACATAGATATATGTGATAAGCAGATATTTTTGAGTGTACCTTTAAAAGTACTGTTTACTATGCCCAAAACTAAATAAGGAATGTTATGTTATCTGTACTTTGGCTGTACCAGACAGGCACAACTCAAAAAGAAGCATTCCAATTATCTTATTAATCATTTAGATTTGTTGGAAAAACTACTTAGCCCCAAATTATAGGTTCCATAAGGCTAACAGACACTAAATACAAGCTATCATGTTTCCTCCCCAATTTAAGCATAATGTAAATAATGTATATTAAACTTAAGCAATATAAACAATGTATATTTAAGTCAACTCTCCAAGAAGCAAATTAACACAATCCCAACAGAATCTGGAGTTAGTAATGTAGGTATATGCTTTACAATATTTAAACTGAGTAAGATCTGCTTATTTTGTGGTTTTAACTACAGGTTTGGTGAATAATACTCAACCTTCACAACGGAAGACTGTGGTTATTCACAACTTTCTTCATATCATTTAAAATAATGCTAATAAGTATAAAGATAATTTAGGGGTGGGACATACAAATATGGTGTAGAATTTAAGATTTTAGAGATAATTTAACATAAGGCTACTTTTAGAAGGGCAGTGTAATTTGTAAGATTCCCTACTAAACTGGGTGTGGTGGTGCATACCTGTAGTCCCAGCACTCAGTGGCTGAGGTAGGAAGATCATTTTGACTTTTGAGGCCAGCCTGTGCTAGAAAGTTAGTTCAAGGCCACGTTGGACTACATAATGAGACCTTGGCTCAAAAAACAAAAACAAATGGCTGAGGATTTTAGCTCAGTGCTGCCGCCTGCCTTGCAAACACAAGGTCCTGAGTTTGATCCCTGGTACCAAAAAAAAAAATTCCTATTAGTACATGTAAACAACGCCATCTTATGACTAAGGCACACTTAAGGTTTTATTTATTTATTTATTTTTAATTTAATTTATTTTTTTTGGTACCGGGGATCAAACTCAGGTCCTTGTGCTTGCGAGGCAGACGACGGAACCACTGGGCTAAATCCCCGGCCTTAAGGTTTTATTAAATCAGTCAAACTGACAGCAGTTCTTCAATATGCTTTGTTTCATTTTGTTTTCAGTGCCAGGGACTGGAGCACAAAGCACTAGAATATCCCCAGCCCTTTTTTATCCTTTAAAGACAGGGTATCCTTAAGTAGTCCAGGCTGGCATCAAACTTGTGGTCCTCCTGCCTCAGCTTCCAGAGAAGCTGAGATTACAAGCATGCACACCCAATTATTTTCACTGTTTTTCAAGACTGGATGGACTGTTTCCTGGTTTGATGTGTTTACCTAGATCAGTGGTGGCGAACCTATGACATGCATGCAAGAGGGGGCTGTTTCTATCATTGAAAGCTCTAAAAGGTTTGTTGTTACTAACCTAGACTGACTTACAATGGGAGACTGCAAAAAGCAAAGGATCTACAATGTAACTCCTAAATTCAACCCATTCAGATTCCCTTGAACAGGATTAAGCTATAGAGAAATATAGACAAATTTTAGGGACATAAAACTAAATAAGATTTTAGTCTTAAAATACTAATCTTTTTGCTATATTTTATCTGCTTAACGTAGTTAGATATTAATAAAGGACCAAATAGCACAGGGGCTAACTGAATCCCAAGGAAGTGGTATTCTAAAACAATCAGCTGCAAGATAATTGGTACACGGGGCTATGTCATCTACTCAAGAGAGGGACATGGTTCAAATTTCAGAACACCCTATAGGCAGCAGAGTATGGTTGTCTTGGGTGTTACATAAGACCCTATGTCAACAGCTTACCACCTGTTTTTATAAGAGTTTTATTGGCACAGCCACACTCATTCTCTCATATATTATTAGTGGCTGCTTCCACACTCAACAGCAGCTCAGACATCTATCCTGCCAAGTCTAAAATATTTACTATGTGCCTATTTGCAGAAGTTTGTGTAACTCCCACCCTGTATTATATCTCCCAGTTACTTAGTTCAGTAAATAGAAAGTCTACAAAAATGCTTCAGAAAAATTTAAAAAACTATAAATGTCAAATTACAAAGAATGATGATCAAAGTCGAGAATATAAATTCTAGTGACCAAATGTTTAATTTCAAAAGATAATTAAGCAACTTAAGGCAAGATTATACTAAAATATTAAATGGCATTTTCCAGTACCCGCCCCCCAATTCCTTCCAGATATAGGTGGGAAGTTCTCTTCCTAGTTCTGAGGTCACCCATCCATTGATTCTCTACATCTTATTATTTGTACCAGATAAGCTACAATCACTGCACATAGAAAACATCACAGAAACTACTAAGATCAAATGGGTGTAATGATTTCAAAACACTTTTTAAAAATTCAACTTAGCAGGGTCTCTTAAGCATCTTATACTCCAAAGGCTCAAAGCCACCCTTACCATAGTAATGAACAAATCTCAAAGACTAGAAACCCAACAAACATTGCCTGACTGATGCATCCTAAAAACTACAAAGTCATTTCATTATCTAAACCTACACATCAAAATGAATGTACTAGGTCTTAGTGTTCTTCTGGAAAAGCTACTGTCTCTAATAAGTTATTTAAATCCTTGAGGTTTCAGTCACAACAAAAATGGGCTCACCACCTTTTCTACATCATCAACCTCCTCACTCTGGCAGTCAGAGACAATATCCACAATTTCATCAATAGAATCATCGGTTTTCTCATTCTCATCTTCATCCTCCTCTTCCAAATCCAAGCCAATAAAGTCAGCACTGCTTCTTCTGCCCTTATCTTGTTTCGCTTTTATCTGTTTTCCCGGGAGTAGTAAGTCACCCTGAAAATGTTCATTCCCTCTGCTTCCTTTTGTAAATCGCCTAGGAACAATGGAGAAGGCTGCAGGATTAGAAATCCTACTCCAAGAATCACATTCAGTTTTTAAAACCCCAGCATTCTCAGAAGTTCCACTTTTCCCATGTAGGTTAGAGATGTTCTGTTCTTCTTGAAACACATCTGAATCTTGACATGGCTTTATTTCTCTAGTTAATTGTTCATCTGCCTCTTTCTTACATTCTTCTGAAGTTCTAACACATTTTGGCACCAAGGAGCTCTTCGGGTACTTTCTCCATCTCTCCCTAATACTGTCCTTCTCCAGAGAGTCTCCACAGTCTTTCTCCTTGGCCTTTGGCAGTGGATTACATTGCTGCTGTACCATAACCTTGCTCCCTGATAATTCAATAAATAGAAATTCATTTGGTTTCTCCTCTGGATTGTCTACTCCTTTCTGCTGCTCTGACTTCGTATCACCAGATTTCTGAAGCTGTACTTTACTCTCATTGTATACTGCCGTATTACTGGCTTTTTCAGAAACTGTTCTAACTTCTAGAACAGCCGGTTTTTCTTTGGAACGGTTATGACTCATTGTCCCATGTTGTTTGGTAACATCTTTATAGTCTTCACCTGTGCGTGACTCAGCAATACAGCAGTGTTCAGAAGGTTTGACAGTTGTAGGACCTTTTTCTGTAAGGGATTCTTCATGCAAATGATCACCCCCATCGTCCAAGGAATCATTCAGGGCTTCTTTTGAGGTAATAGTTCCTGAATTCTGCTTAATTGTATTAGCCTCAGGATCTATAGCTTCTCCTTCTGACTGTACAGTCTTCTTAGTTTCCTTCTCTCTTTCTATAGAGTTTGTTTCATCTTTCTGGTCTGCATTCTGGGATTCTTTCTTCATCTGAAGGGAAGCAACATGCTGAAGAATGGAGCTAGGGACAGGCTTTTGTCCTGGGAGCTGCAGCAATGCAAAACTACCAGACTGGAGAGGAATGAGATTGGCTGTACTAACAGGCTGCCCTCCTGAACTATATGTTATTTTGGTTTCAGAGCCTGTTTTACTTGCAAAGCTTTGTGGCTCAGGAGGGGAAATCCTCAGGGTCAATGTACCAGCCTGAGAGACAAAACTTGGTCCAGAGGAAAGTAAAGATGGTGCCTGAGTGATAACATTCACTGCTGAAGAAGACCCAATAGCCTGAATTACAGGATTTACAACAGAGAAAGCAGAGGACGAAGCAGAAGATGGTGGTGTCTCAGAAGGCTTGCAAGGTGCAGGCAACCGGATTCCCACTACAGACCCTGTTAAGGAAAAAGAAAAATTTCTTTAATCACCACTGTCCAATTCAAAAATTTCAGGCATGTTTCTCTTTTTAGACAAGTGACTCTAAGAGACCAAGAACAATCCTGGAGTATTAATACTGTATAACATATGGCCAACTGATTAAACAAAAGCTGTCAGAAAGATCCCCAATTTTATACCTGGGTTCCGAAACATGACAGGTTGTATGCTGGGCTGGGTATTAGAGCCTCGGATCTGATGCAAAGGTAAAAGTTGAACAATCTGCCCATTGGGGTGCCTAAATAGGTTCATTCCACTTGGGCTCCGAACAGGCTGTAAAACCATCCGATGTCCCTGAAGCTGTGGGTTTGGGACAGGTCTAAGTGTAGGAGAACCCTGCTGTACTGGAATCAACAATAACCGAGGTCCAGGACGTTTCGCTGTGTTAGGAGAGACCTGTGGAGTAGCCACTGGAATCTGAGGGGCATTTTCTGAAAAGAATGAAAATATACTATCAAAATTCCCCTTGAACATATGTAGAAATAAAGCTATTATGACATAGGATCTCAAAATGCTGCAAGGAACTTCTAATTTGAATTATAAAGTTGGTGAGAGTCTGTCCCTCCATAATGTACTATTTATTGCCAATAGTAATTGGGCAGTCATTACAGAGCTTTACATTCAGAATGATATCAATTATCAAGAGGTACAAAGATAACGCTTTTGCCCAATGAAAAGCACAGGCAGGCTTGTAAATCTGGATTCACATTAAAGTTCAAGAGATTATGATAAAATTCCCTTCTTCATCTTTACTCTGCCCACAAAATATATCAAATTTCTAAGTCATGTTCCTAACAATTAGATGACAAACGTGCTTCACTTCAGAAGCACATATACAATTAGATGACAAACTATACACAGAAAATCCAGGGGTGCTCTAAACATGAAATAAAGACCACAGACAAAATTGTTCATAAAAATAATAGTGTACAATTTTAAAAAGTTCATTTATCTGACATGAATTTTTAAAGATGTTAACTTCATTAAAAATATGCATCTGGGCCGGGGATCTAGCTCAGTGGTTTCACTGCCTGCTGTGCAAGTGCAAGGACCTGAGTTCGATCCCCGGTGCCCCCCCCCAAAATAAATTAATTAATTAAAAATGCATCTGTCTAAAAAATACGGATGTTACAGTACGTGAATTTTAAAAATTCATAAACTTTATTTCTTAAAATGTTCATATTATGTTTTAGAGGGTGATTCCAAACCTAAATTACTCCAATTCAGAGAATGAAAGCAATCTTTATTATACCCACTGAATTTATGATGCTTAAATTGTAGGTCAGGGAAAGAAGGGTAAAGAGAAAAACAAGGGAAATCAAATGAAAAGGCTACAGACAAAGTGCCCAAGTTGAGATCCTCTTTATGAACCAAGAACAAAATGACACGTTCCCTTCAAAACAACAGTCCTCTGAGTCAACTCCATTTAAAAAGGAGAACTAAGAAAATTGTTACCCTTTCTTCAAATGCTATTGTAGAAGGCATATTAAATGGTATATGAATATACAGTAACATCACATATCACATTAATATCACATATCACGTCAGAAAATTCCTGTGTCAATTTTAATCTTTTCATTATATATAGAAGTATTAACTCTGATACCACATTTTTGGGGCTGGGGATTTAGCTCAGTGGTGCCACACCTGCCTTGCAAGCACAAGGTCATGAGTTCGATCCCTGGTACAAAACAAAGTGTGATACTACATTTTCAATATTACTCCAGTATTTTCTAGCTTCCTTCATCAACAGAAGCCATAATGGTTCCGGCACCTGCCTCACAAGTGCAAGGTTCTGAGTTCCAAAAAAACCCCCAAAAAACAAACAAAAAATAGCCACAAGCTCAGAACATATAGCAGCTAAGTAGAATTTAGTAATAATTTTATTATTTATGTTTTCAGAATATTTATAGAGTTAACCATAATGCTGTCAATTAATGTTTCTTTTAAAAATGTATTAAACAGCTGGGTGTGGTGGTCATACTTGTTATCCAAGGATTCTGGGAGGCTGAGAAAGGAGGATCACAAATTCCAAACCAGCCTGCGCAACATAGTGAGACCTTGTCTCAAAAAAATTTACAGGGCTGGAGATTTAGCTTAGTGGTTCCGGCGCCTGCCTCACAAGCGCAAGGTCCTGAGTTTGATCCCCGGTACCAAAAAAAAAAAATTTACAAAGGGGTGTAAATGTAGCTCAGTGCAAAAGCCCTGGGTTCAATACGGGGGGCAGGGACCATGACCAGGCTAGGCACAGTGGCACACACCTATAATCCCAGATACTAGAAAGCTGAGGCAGCAGTATTTTTACTAAACTAAGAAGGACTCAAAAAGCAGTATATTTTAATCTTCACTGAGGGAAAACAAAACAAAAAAAGGCTGAAGCTCGGTTAGAGCATATGCAGAAGCTATCTCATCTCATTGCCTCTTTTTTAAATTAAAAAGCAGCACACACACACACACCCCACCCTAAATAAGGAGAACCTGTTCCCACCTTGGAAAAGTGCACCCCAGCTCTCAGCAGGTTGTACACTTCCTTCCAGGACAACCTTACTGCCTGCTCTAATGGTTCAGAGTTCTACTGCCATATGCATTATTTCAGTGTTCTTCAGCCAGTATTTCCATTCTAATGTTTTTGAGTTTTTAGTATCTCCTGTGGCAACCTCCAACCCCACCAAACCACCTATCAGGTTATGTCCCAAGGAAGCAAACTGCTTTTTTAGCAACCTGGGTACAAAACTGCATAGAGCTAGGTGTGGTGGTGCATGCTTGTAATCACAGCTACTCAGGAGGTGAAGGCAAAAGGATCTTAAATTCAAAGTCAACCTGGCAAGTTTAACGAGATGCCATCTCAAAAGAAAAAGTAAAAAGGGCAGGGAGTGTAGCTCATCAGTGCAAAAGCCCTGGGTTCAATCCCTATTACTGAAGGAAAAAGAAAAAAAAAAAAAAAAAAAGCAAAATCACAGATTTTTAGTGATCTGTCTTAAACCTATATTAATCATGAACTCTATTATTTCCAGTACTCAGGTTTACAGAATGCAAATGTTTTCAAGAATACATAATAGCAGAAATGCCTACACCAGTGACAGCGAGCCTTTTAGAGCTTTCAATGATACAGAAAGCCCTCTTTGGCATGCATGCCATAGGTTCACCACCAGTGACCTACACAGCTATCCTGATATATATGTATTTCTATCACAATCACAAAATTATATAAACAGATGTATAGTACAGCAATGAGTAACTAGGCCTTACCTGGTCTCTGGCTTACTGGTGGACTCCCATTAATTCCTGAGAGTATAATAGGAACAGAACCCAGAGATGAAGTTGGTGTGGTCACCACGGAGGAAGAAGCAGCTGTGGTCACCATGACTATGGAGGTGGAGGCAGTGGAAGCAACAGGAAGAGTTATGGTTGGAGGAGATGCTACCAAAGATTTAGGAAAAGCAACTGAAGCCACAGGGGTAGTTATCCCAGTAGTTTTGGTAAGGTTCACAGTGGCTGTAGACTGGGCAGATGTTACAGTGGTGCTGGTATTGGTTTCAGAGACCTCAATAACCCCTGCAGTGGTGACACCAGAAGAATAAGTAGTTTCTTTAGTTCTCACGTCAGAAATAGCAGTCATAGATGTCACAGCAGTAACATTTTCTAAACACACTTGAGGGGCGGTAGTAGTGACAGCAGCAGTCACAGGGCTGCACACCTGAACTGGCTCAGAAGAAACCACAGGTGTGACGACCATTACTGGAGAAGGTCTGATACTGAACTTCTGTGGCCCTGTCAGGGTTTGGGGTGTGCTAACTCCAGGTATCTTCTGCTGTAAGGCTCCAACTTTACTCATCACAAACTGGGTGAACACACCACCAGGAGAGGGTCGAGCCGCTGCAAATAAAAATTTGCAGGTCAAAAATCTTCAGTTCTCTTATTTCACCCTTCTCATGACTGTGTTTATCAACATTAATTGTGCACCACTGGGTCAATTTCTCATAGGTATGACCACCTACCTTCATTATTATGCGCCAATTTTTACCCAAAGAAATCAAACACTTCCCTCAACCCAAAGAAAACAATTATAATTCTAACAAGAAAGGGACTGAAATTTGAGTGTTCCTACTAAAATTCTTTAGGTTATGCACTACAAATTGTCAAGACACTAAAAAGTTAACATAGCAGTGAATAATTCTTTACCTAAAACGAAAGAAGGAATTTTTCCTAATTCTAATTTTTTTTTTTTTGGTACCGGGGATCTAACTCGGGTCCTTGCTCTTGCACAGCAGGTGGCGAAACCACTGAGCTAAATCCCCGGCCCCCTAATTCTAATTTTAAAATTTGCTTCTACCATTTCCTCCTTGCATCAGCAACTCCACCTCTTTATAGCTGTCCTCTTACAGTTTGAGTATTGCATATTCTTAAAATATATAGACATTTTTCAAAAGAAAGTAGAAGAGGGCTGCTTTTTTGACGTTTAAATCACAATTAATGTTGCTTTTTAAAAGAGGTAAAACAGATTCTTTTTAAGGCACACAATGCCTATCCTCTATCTTCACACAACTCCAGCCTTCAGCCAGATATTTCAATTTCCTGTTAGAGGAATAAGAATGAAGACACAATTGACACTTTTACTTAACATTCCTAAATTAGTCTGAAACAAAAAGAATTCAAAAAACAACTATAATAGGTACTCTCAAAGCCAAAACAAGAATGCTTCAAGAAGGCAATTTATTATAGACTCTAGCACTGAAATGTTAAGCAAAAGAAAGGTTCTCATTCACAAACAGGGATGTATAGAACAATGAGATATTTTGAAAGTTACGTTTCACGAGAGCCTTCTGCTTTAACCCTAAACTATTTCATCCCACTAGCATGTGCTACCTTCTTGAATTCTTACGTTCAAGGGATCTGCTGTGACTGGTGCCATAAGACTCAGTACTCATAGAAAAAAATACTAGAGAAAATATCTTTAAATGTCACCCTTTTTTAAAAAGAAAATTAAAATCCTAAGTCTTTAATGTATTAATATAGCCAGTCCAAAAACCTCAAACATAATTGTAAGACTAGAGTTAAATTCTTCTAATATCACAAGTCATCAGCAGTTATCAAGAAAAATCTAAAAATATGTAAGACACACATAAATGTCATATTCTGTATTTCTTAAATTTCTACAACTGTTTCTGTAATCCCTGGACAAGCACAAAGTTACAGGTATTTCCAAAACAGATGTGCTCTCCAACTTACCAATTGGCCTTTTTGCCAGGACAAATGCCTTCGGATTCTTCTCAGAACGGTTTGTTGGATTGCCAGAAGAGGATGCCATTTTGGAACTGGTTGTTGAAGGCAGCAGGGTGCGTGGTTTCCTGGATGCAGCCACCTTGGCATTGGATGCTACCTTGGAGATGACAGTACTGAGGGTTGAGAGGTCCAGGACTGAGGGTCGCAACCTGCCTGTGATATAAGCAGCTAGCCTATTGGCTGGATGCAATGCCCCCATCTGTCCCAATAGCAACTTAGCCTGCGGGTAATTCTTACCATTAACCTGAAACAAGTGGCAAAGAGAAATTCTGTAAAGATAAAATTCTCTTGCTAACTTCTCTCCCTTGACAGGGTGTTTCATTTTACAAGGTTTTAAAAGTCTGTATTTCAGATGGGAGGAAAGTGAACTTTTTCCATTAGGGGTAATCTGAGTAATGGGAAAGTGAAAAAATGTCATCATTTGATATTCTGAACTAATCTCATCTCCTTTATTTTATTCTTTGAAAACAAGAGAATCTTAGAAACTCATCATTTTTACACCCTAGATATGTGAAAGACACATGTCTGTGTCCAAAACATCATCCAATTTTTTACTTTAATTAGCAATTTTGAGTAAGCTATTTAACAGTCATCAGCAAAATTGAAAACCTGACACACAGAATCTCTCTGATAAGACCACAGAGGTATAATAAAGCCCTTACACAAAAGTCATCTTTTGAAGTATCCTTCATATTTGAAAGTGAACCAACAAATGACATATAGATTTTCTGTACAGCCAGAGCTGACTATATTGCCCATCCTGGGCAGCAACACAGTTGTCTTGTTTTTAAGGAAAGAAAATAGAAACTTCCCAACAGAACATGGATATCTCTTACCTATATTCTCTAAGTCATATTGCTGGATGAGCCTAGAGAAGATAATCTTTTCTGTCTCTTTTCATCATTTAAAAGTGGGAGACAGAGGGTGAGGTGAGGTGAGGTGCAGTCTACTCTCTAACAGAGAATTGGTAAGGTGAATAGCTACAGCAAGCCACTACATCTTCAAACACAAAAAACAAAATTACTCTTTGCTACTCAGGTAAAATTGTAATTATTCCCAGAGAGATCAGGAATATCTCTGCCTCGTGTTTGGTACAAAAAAATGTGATCTTTTCATCCAAAAGTAAACTTTACTGTAGTTTTTAGATTTTTATACCACATGCAATCTAGGTCAGGTATCCCTGTCTTTGATACTGCTCTGGAGCCTACTCAGCAGCTTCCCCAAATATATAGGCTGTGTATTCCTTAGCCAATATGAAATGTTTCAGATATGTGACTTGGAAATACCTGCATATATATAATAAGATACACTGGGGATGGGGCCGGGGATTTAGCTCAGTGGTTTCACTGCCTGCTGCACAATCACAAGGACCCGAGTTTGATCCCCGGTACCAAAAAAAAAAAAAGAAAAGATATACTGGGGATGAGACTCAAATCTAAACGCAAAATTCATTTATGTTTCATGTATCTTATATACATAACCTTAAGGTAACTATATAAAATATTTTTAATGTGCATGCATTTTTACTACAACATGAAGTTGGGTGTGGAATTTTTTAACTGCGGTGTCATCTCAAAATATCTTCAAATTTTGGGTCATTTCAAATTTCAGATGTTTGGATTAAGGATGATCAACTTGTATTACGAACTGCCCAACTACTTATGCAAATTACATTCTATGGTAGCTTCATGAGTCCATATGCCCATTTATACACCTGTATCTTAGGGAGTCTTGCCTCAGAAATATCAAGCAAGTCTCTGCTCTGAAAGTATCAATCAATCAGTATGTAAACAGAAAATATTATTCTTATCACTGAGTTTAAGAAATGCCAGTAAAATGAGTTACACAGCACCAGCAAGAATAAACTATGATAAGTTTTAAAGTCAATCACTCATATTATTAATGAAGCAGTCCTAAGCCTAGAGAAGCAGTTACACTCATCAAAGTCAAACAACCTTAGTAATGATGTGAGACTCTTGTGCTCCTTTGCTATTTATTCACTAATAAAAACACATCTGCTGTCATTGAGCTAACCTGTCATTGAGTCAAAACCTTTTTATGACTTAACATTTTAATTTAAAACTTTTCTTTCCAAAAGCTTTTCTAGATGTCAGTGTAATTTTACTAATATAAACTGCCTAAATTATTAAACAGCAAGGACAGAAATATTTCTTTAACAATAACTACACTGGAAAAACCCCAAGAATAAAGAAAAAAATAAGTAAATGTGGCTCAAGTCTTTAAAATTTCATGTATTTGAAAAACGTTAAATTGAAAATTTCCCCAGGGCTAGGGCCGTAGCTCTTCCTTATCATGGGTGAACACTTCCTTATCATGTATGAAGTACTAGGTTTGACCCCCAGCAATGAAAAAAAAAATTATTTCACTCAAGCTTCTAAATATACCTGCAGCCTGCCTCAAAGCTGACTTTATCTTCCTCCTTTACTATTCCTAACATTGTAAACATGGACTTATTTGTCTGTAGTACTGGAGACTGCACATGATAGGCAAGCATTCTACCACTGAGCTACACTCCCATCCCTTTTTGAGACAAGGTCTCAGTGAGTTTCCCAGGCTCACTTTAAACTTGAAATCCTCTTGCTTTTAGCCTTCCAAGTAGCTGGGATGACAGGCAGGCACCATGACACTATTTGCATTTGTTTTGAAAGTCCTGGGCCAGGAATGTAGCTCAGCAGCACAGCACCTGCCTGACAAGTGTGAGGCCCTCAGTTTGATGTCCAGTACCAAAAAAAAAAAAAAAGGTCTGCTAATAATAAATTCCAAGAACTACACTGAATACCTAACTTTGCTTGACTGTCAAACTATCACTAGAGCCCAAGCAATAAGGTGAAGAAGAGCGACTTTCTAGAAAGACTAGAAAGAAAATTATAGGCTAATATAAAGCCTATATAATATTATAATTATAATACAATATATAATTATATATAAAATCTATACTTCTGTTTGTAAATGTGCCAGAAATTCACTGTACATATACTTCTAATCCTGTCCTATTACAGAAAGAAAAAATGATTTTATCTAGTTCCCATGAAATGTGAAGACAAAATGATGTAAGGGCTCAAAAGGGCTCTGAAAAAAATTAAGATATTACTTAAGTATAAAAAGGTGCTATATCCAGATTAAAGATAATTCTCACCTGGATAAGCCCAGATGTGCTTGAACTGGGTTTACGCTTATAGGCCACAAGCTTCCCTGCAGGAGAAACCCCTGCATAAAAAGGTAGACCTTTGCCTCCATGTAATCTCTCCCTCACTGAATCCAGGGCATCTGTCTGCACAGGAGAGATATCATCCATTTTCCCAGGGGACAATGGACCATCAGGAGTCTCTGATCCAGATTTCTGAGCCATATCATCCTGGTCTTGACATGATGGCATAGAGATTTTCACACGAGAAGAATAAACAGGAGGGTTCTTCTCACCCCGGCTCTTTCGCTGAGAAGCCAACTCAATGATGAAGCTGCCCACCTTAAGTGATTGTGGCATGTTGCTATTGATGTGCTGAGATAAGATGCTCAAAATCTTGCTCCGATCCTCCTCCCAGTTGCAGTCTGAGATGATCTCTATCAGTTTGGTGGGACCACCAGGTGACTTCTGATGCACATAAGAGGAAGAAGAGGATTCCCCTTCATTGGAGGAAGACTTCCAGCTCTTTTCTGATTAAAAAAAAAAAAAAGATACTTCTATATATCACAACTACTTTGTACTAAACTTTGTAAGAAATTCAACAACTTCTCAATATCCTATTCTCATATACTTTCAGGGGTAATCTCATGTAACATTAGTAATTTGGGGGTTTTCCAGAAAGATGGAAGATCTTACAGGAGCAGACTACAATCATCTTCACTATTCTGCATACTGAGCTGATTTGTTTTTAAAGAAAGGAATCCCTTAACACTACTCTAAAGGCCATAGCTATTAGCTAAGAAAGTGCTAGCTTGAAAACAAAGGATAATCTCAATCAAAGTTAAGCTTAGCTGGTATAAGCTAATATTCTGCTACAGGCAAAGCATACATGCAAAGGAAAGATACTTGCAAACAGGCTTTGCAACATGACAGTCAATACTGAAGAAGTGCAAAGGAAAGTTTTGGTTTTAAAAAAGATGCTTTGGGCTGGGGATTTAGCTCAGTGGTTTCACCACCTGCCTCGCAAGCTCAAGGACCTGATTTCGATCCCCGGTACCAAAAAATAAAATAAAATTAAAAAGATGCTTTGTCCCTAGTTTCTATTGTAAATATTCCAGATATCTTCTGTGCCTCTATATAACATAGTTTTATTTCTTGATTGTACATGGATCATTCAATTCCCCAATGTATTTCTATCCATAGTACCATGTTGATATATATATTTCATGGGACACCCAGATTTCTGCAGCAGAGCTTCCCAATGAACTACAATTATAAGTACATTAAGAACACAGGCTCCTGGGCCGGGGATTTAGCTCAATGGCTTTGCGCCTGCCTTGCAAGCGCAAGGTCCTGAGTTCCATCCCCGTGCACCCCCCCCCCCAAAAAAAGGAATACAGGTCCCCATAGCCTCCAGGGTTCTTATCCTTAGGCGGCCTCCTCCACTCCATTCCCTCTACATGCTATTGACACATTATTCTTTGTGTGCACCATGAAATTTAAGAATGGAAAGGGTGTTTTAGGAAGCAGTGTTGCATAAGTGTCATACAGCTTAAAAAGCATAATTCAAAACAAATAGGTGGACTGGGGATTTAGCTCAGTGGTTCCACCGCTGGCCTCACAAGCTCAAGGTTCTGAGTTTGATCCCTGGTATGCAGCCCCCTCCCCCAAAACAAACCAAATAGGTAACTCCCTAGTCACTACCTCTCATCATAGTAGTAAACCAGGGACATTACTTCCTTTCTTTTTCTGTGTTCCCCCAGTGGTGGTCGCTATGGAAGACCTGAAACAAATTTTAATAGCTAATGATCCCAATAAAGCTGAGGTTGGAAAGGGCCTAAAAAATTATTTTACTGATCTCATCCTCAAATGTCTCTTGGCATAGCAACATGAATCTGCTTTTATTTTTGAGGACAGGAGTATAAAACAAACCAAATAATGTGAAAAGACTTTTACTTATCTCTATTTTTTGACAAAAGCTATAAACAGGGAAGAGCATACATTTTGGATTGGTAGTCTAAAAAAACACTTAGTAGACTATTTTCTACCATTAAACAACCCAGACCTATATAATTACTCTCAAACATTAGGATCTAGTAGTCTTCATTCTGACCTTGTGATTTATCAGAATCATCCTCCAAGTCACAAATGAATTGTTTGAAGGGCTGCTGTTCAGAATCAGGTTCCTAAAGAAGGAAATAACACAGAAACACTTCAGCATATATTTAATGTCTTCAGAGAGGAGGAAATAAGCATTAAATCTCTCAAGGAAGGTGTTTTTTTTTGGGGGGGGGTCTTGTTTTTTTGAGACAGGGTCTTGCTATGTAGCCTAGGCTGGCCTCGAACTCATGGTAATCCTCCTTCCTCAGTCTCTCGAGTGCTGGGAATACAGGAATGAGCCACCATGCCCAGTTTCAAGTACATAAGCAATCAACAGACATACATTTGCACACACAGCTGTACTACTGTCATACAATCTCAGGCAAACACAAGTAATTTGATCTCTAGTGTTCTTAATTATGATTGACTCATTATGAAAATAATTTACATAGTGCTCTATAGTATACTGTAGTAAAGAAGGAAAAATACCAGATGTTTAACATGACAAGATTCAGTTATTAGAAAACTTACCAATATGGAAAAATGCAAATCCTAATAATTATAAAAAATTGAATTAAAAACTAAAAAGTTTTTTCAATTACTCCAGGATCAGAAAGAACAATATTCTTGGGAGTCCTAGAGGACAGATCACTAGAACAGGTAAAGAAAAATAATTTATACATCACATAAATCCAGGGCAGATTAATTATTCTGATAGCAATACAAATTCTCATTATTCTAATACCAGCAACAGGGAATTAATTGGACATTTTAAATTATATAACAAAAATTCACCTTTGTACTGTGGTTCTCCGGACTAGAATGACAAGAGCTCTGTTGCTGAAATGTCAGAGAGGGGGATGGGGATGGGGATGGCTGTCTCTGTTCCTCCTTCTTTCTTTCATATATTCGAACTCGGGCACAAGTCATCATACTTTCAAAGTACAAATAGACAGGATCTTTGTCCTCTTCCCGTATCTGTAAGTTTCATACAACAAAACATTCCATAAAATGGTGAAAAAACAGTCTCCTAGACTCCAAAAGAAAAAGGATATTTAATCTTTCTTTTCATTACAACAGAAATTTTTTTAACAGCTGAAATTTTTAAATGCAGCCTTTAAAATCAAATAGTGTAAGTACAGTTCATATGTACTAATTTTGGGATAGTCTGTTTCTCTTATCTGGAAATTTCATATCACACCATTAGTAGTGCTTTTCAAATCATCTGTAGTTAAAGAATTTGTTAATTATGTCTACCACAGACTGCAACTTTAAAAAAACTAAAAAATTACTAGAAAAACAATACATATAAAGCTGCTGCAAGCCCAAGTTTTCTAAATATTTGCTCTCATTTTCTATACTTACTTCATCACAGACCAGTAACAAATAGCTTTAGACCGGCATTGGTACAGAGACTACCTAAACCACCAAGCACCATAGTAGAGAATCCTTCTTCAAATTAATGAACTAGGGAGACTGAAATGAATTCAGCAGTCAGAATTAAGTTACTGACATATCCAATCAGCTCTTTTTTTTACCCATCAGACTTCACAGTCATGTAATATCAACAGTTGCTTTAAATCTTGAACTTTGTTACTATAATTATACATTTTGTAAAATCTGAGTTTTAAAAGGTTTTCTAAATATTTTTCTAATTTTCTACATATCTCAATAGTCTACACTACAAGAGTAACAGTATATATCTTTAAAATATTTTTGCAGGGCTGGGGATTTAGCTCAGTGGTTCCGGCGCCTGCCTTCGAAGCACAAGGTCCTGAGTTCTATCCCCAGTACCAGAAAAAAATTTTTTTTGCAAGTCACATAAAAAGCAATTTTCTTACAAGCTTCTTTTTTTTTTTGAGGCATGGTCTCTCTGTGTAGTTCAGGCTGGCCTTGAACTCACTACGTAGCCCAAGCTGGCCTCAAACTCGAGGCAATCCTCCTGCCCCACCCAGCCTCCTAAATTATGGGACTACAGGCATGCACCACCAGGCCTGGCCCCTATACAATTCTTGAAGAAAGATTTAGCTATCTTTAAGAATTACTATTACTCATCTCTACTTTTATGACATTTAAAAGTGCCAACAACTAGTTAAACCCAAAAGGAAGATGTTACATAGTCATACTACATAAAAGAAAAACTACTCAGAAAATATCAACCTAAATTCTGGTTCAAATCCATCAGCTTTACAAGTGATTTTTATAATTTGCAATTAAAAAAAAAAATTAAACTGCAGGCTTACCACAGGATTAGGTTTGGGAGTATATGCCCGTGCAGGTTTAATTCCAGTGAGCACTTTGCCCTTCACAGTAGCAGATAATACTTCTGGCTGAGGCAACAACAACGGTTTCATAGGCTCAATGACAGAAGGTGTTGGGACATAAACTGGCTCTGGATCTACTTCACCTTCTACTTTTACCCATAATGGGTAGTGTCGAACAGGTTGTTCAGGCTCTGTTTCACATATAGCTTAACAAAAAATAAAGATAAGGTGCTTTTGGAAACAAGTTCAACACTGAAGTATTACCAAAACAAGGACATTCCCCTACAACTGATAATCTCTTTAACATCAAACTGAATTTCTCAATCTGCCCTATGCAAAAGTTTCTTTTTGAAACCATTAATTCATAGTACATTATTATTAATATTCTAAAATGTCAAAAGATGTATCTAGAAAGGGATCTTCTAAAAATTTACTGGCAGGGGTTCAACAGCCCCCCCGCTTTTTTACTTGCAGTACTGGGAATTGAATCCAGGGCTTAACACATGCCAAGCAACCACTTCACCACCAAGCTACAGTCCTTCAATAGGCCCATTTAATCAGAAATTGTATGTTCTTCAGCTCTGAGAAATTTTCTTTCATCATCTGAGCATCTTCTCCCTCTTTCTCTAAGCTGTCCTTTCCTTCTCAAATTCCTCCAAATCATCCCTAACATTCTCTTCGCTCATTTTTCTACCTATCTTTTTGGAAAACATACAAAGAGAGTTGCTCAACTTTTTCAATTTTGTATTTTGTGTTTGCTCACTTTTGGTCTCAACACTTTTCCCTCTACTAACTCTTCCATATTTTTACTTCTTTTATATAGCAATTTTTAATAAAAGATCAAATGGGAAGGAGAAATAAAGAGGGGGGAAGGAAAAAAGGGAAAAGGATAAAAAGAAAATAGAAGAAAATGGAAACAAGTCTTTGTAAATAAGGAGAGGAAGAGGGGTTGAAGGGAGGGAAAAGGAGAAAAAAGAATCAAGATATATCATGTACAGGTACAAATTCCATGTGATGAATGTTATCATGTATATCTAAAGTATACCAATAAAATTAATTAAAATTAAAATAATCTTCCCTAACAATAAATCTAAAAGCTTCTAGAGAGGAAAAGAACAGGCCTTTTTTAATATAATGGGTTACACCGAAAAGAAAAAGTCAAAAATACTGATAATTAGCTCCCAGAGTTAACAACTCTAATCACAAACAGAACTCAAGAAAGTAAAAAAAAGTCTAACACATATACAGTATGTGGCTTTTTAAACTTATTCTTACTGCTTTGAAATGGAGCTATGTTGCTTTAAATACAAAAATGAAGTTATGGTGTCCTACCCCTGTAATCCCAGCACTCTGGGGGACTAAGGCAGGAGATCTCCAGTTTGAACCCAGCCTGAGCAATTTAGCAAGACCTTATCTCAAAAATTAATAATGAGCTGGGGATGTAGCTCAGTTGCTCCAGTACTGCAAACAAACAAATAATTATATAAACATACATATACAGTAAGAAGATACACATAAAACTACACTAGCAAATTTGTATTATGTTTCACTCTGAACATTTAAAACCTTAGTTATATAAAGATACCCAGGTATATAAAGACAATTATCTCACTTAAAAATTAAAATAGCAATTAGAATAGCCTAGCACTGATCACAACCAGGAGAAGCCAGAAAGAGACCCTCAACATCAGTATATTTTAATTTACTGCATTATAGGTGACATTTTAAACTAGTAGGGAAAATATGTATTTTTTCAACAAGTGATGATATAACTGGCTAGTCATTTGGTGGAGAAATGCTTCCCTATTACAAAACTCATAGCAAATAAATTCTAGACATAGTTAACACTTCTTCAAGCCCACAAAAGTAAGAGAAGACATCTAATTAGACATTTTTATAATCTTAAGGATCGAGAAAGACATTCTAAACAAGATCCCAAAGACAGAAAACCCTACCAAAAGAATGCCAGATCTAACCATTTCTGCTTTCGCCTGTTTTTGGGAGGGAGGAGCAGCAGATTTTGAACAAAATTAAAACATAAGTTGGGGCCGGGGATTTGGCTCAGTGGTTTCGCCGCCTGCTGTGCAAGCACAAGGACCCGAGTTCGATCCCCGGTACCAAAAAAAATGAAAAATAAAAAAAAAATAAAACATAAGTCACAGAATTACAACCAGGGGAAAATAAAGTCTCCTGAAAACTCTAGAGGAAAAAGCACTACCACTCCAATTTTTAAAATAGCAAAAAATTCCAAAAGGCACTTTACAGAGGAAAGATTATGATGAATGGTCAATCAACCTATCAATGAAGAAAAAATTTAAAACAAGATGTCTATGTCTGCCTGTCAATTTAACATAGTTTTTAAAAACTTAAAAAATATGTCTACTGTTAAAAATTATCGAAAAAGTGGTGCTATCTACTTATTGGCAAGTTGGTACAATTCTAGCAACATCTGGAAACATTTTTGTGCACTCACTGTCACAGAAATTTCACTTTTAATAGGCTATCCTACCCATGGACATTCATCACTATTTTATATATAATAAACAATGCCCCCAAAAGTCCAACCAGCCAGGTGTGGTGGCATACTTACACCTGTAATCCAAGCATTCAAGAGACTGAGGCAGGAGGATTGCCGTAAGTTTGAGGCACCTAGGATACACAGAGTTCAAGGCCAGCCTGAACTATATAATGAGACACTGTCACAAAAAACCAAAAAAGTCCAACCAAAAGGACTTCAATAATAAGAAGTCACTAGAGCTGGGGATTTAGCTCAGTGGTTCCGCCGCCTGTCCCGCAAGCGGAAGGACCCGAGTTTGATCCCCAGTACCAAAAAACAAAACACAAAACAATATGAAGTCACTAAAACTAAATTATATCTAGGCATGGTGGTACATCCCAGCACTCAGGAAACTGAGGCAGGAGGATTTTAAGTTCAAGCCCAGCCTGGGCTCCACAGACTGGGCTATATAGAAAGACACTTAAAAAAACAAATTTTTTTTGGGGGGGGAGGATACTGGGGATCGAACTTGGGTCCTTGAGCTTGTGCAGCAGGCGGAGAAACCACTGAGCTAAATCCCTGACCCCAAAAAAAAATTTTTATGTAGATGTATAATTCTCGATAAGGAAAGAGAAACATGATCTTATGATCTTAAATGTATACGAATTGCAATACCACCATATAACAGTTGACTTCTACAAATATATACATATATAAAACACACAAAGATGTGTGGAAGAATATACACTGAAATATTAATCATCTCTGATGGAAATGAGTACACAATAAACATAAAAATGTAAATATAAGCTGCCCCCCCAGGGACGGGGATTTAGCTCAGTGGTGTCACCACCTGCCTCACAAGCGCAAGGTCCTGAGTTCGATCCCTGTACCAAAAAACAAAACAAAAAAACAAAACAAAACTGCCCCCTCAAAATTTCCTGTAATAATCAAGAAAACCTTTATTAAATCATATTCATATTTTTAAATATTTATGTATGTATGTATCTATTTACTTATTTATTTAGCAGTACTGGGGTTCCAACCCAGGAGATCTCTACCACTGAGCTACATCCACAGCCATTTTTGAGTATGAATCTTTACTAGGTTCCCCAGGCTGGCCTCAAACTTGCAGTCCTTCTATCTTAGCCTTCCAAGTAGCTAGGATTACAGGCGTGCGCCACTGTGTATAGCTTATATTCAATACACTTGAACAAATACAAAGATATGATAGAAAAAAAATTGAAGGAAAAAAAAAAGAAAAGAAAAAATTGAGATTAAAAGGTAACTTGGGGGGCCAGGGAGTGGTTTCACTGCCTGCCTAGTAAGCACAAGGTCCCGAGTTCAATACCCTATACCAAAAAAAAAAAAAAAAAGTAACTTGGGTCTACATCTATACCATATTTTATCCAAAGAGAAAATAAACTTTACAAAAGAGTACATGATGTTCACTCTATTATACCCTTATTTTATTATACCCTAAATGTGCAACTACTTGGAAGATAGCTCCATGATCAGAGGGTCTCGACTGCAAATTCCTCCTTTTAGAAAACATGATGGATAGGACCAGGGATGTAGCTAAGTGGCACAGTGCCTGCCTGGCAAGCACAAAGTCCTGAGTTCAATCTCCAGCACCAAGAAAAAAAAAAAGAAAGAAAAAAAAAGAAATACAGAAAATATGATGGATTATATGAAATATATGCTGGGGAGTTACAAAATAATTGAATAAACCACCGATGAACTTCAAATGTTCAAAGACATTCTGGAAAGCCAAGTAAGAGTATGATTTTTCTCAGAGAAAAATTAAATTTTAAAAAGGTGTGTTTGTGTGCATATCACACATGCCATATAGAAAGAGCATGTAAGTATAATAAGAATTCTCAAAACTCTTACTAGATCATTGATTAGAATAAAAGTAGAGGGCTGGGGATTTAGCTCAATGGTTCCACCGCCTGCCTTCTGCCTTGGCAGAAGGTCCCAAGTTCAATCTCCGGTACCAAAAGAAAAAAAAAAAGAAAGAAACCTAGAATTAAAGTCAATAGTATTTTTTAAATAACCATACTTTTCAAAAAAATAAGAAAACACACAGATCAGTTTTATTCTCAATACTCACTATATTCCAGCTTCTTTCTCTTTTTTCTCTCTTTCATTTGTTCCTCGTCTCCCTCTTCTTCCTCCTTTGGCTCTTCTCCCAGATTATCATAAAACACTGGATCTCGCTGAGTAGCCTTCTTCTGGAGTTGCTTAATTTTGGATCCCCCTTTAACAAGTACAACTTTTCTTTTCAAACAAGTACAGCCAAACATGCAATCTGGTCGACGGCAGTGGGCAGGCTGGCGCTTCTCCAAAGCTAGACTAGAACATACACAACCTAGTCGACAGAAGTCATTGTTGCATGGAGGAGCTCGTTTCCTTATGATTGTGTGAATAGGTTTAGTTTTCAGAGATGCCTAAAATTAAAGCAGAAAGTTGTAATTCTACTAAATCATCCTCTGACACCATCACCAATTTACAATCATATATATTGGTCTGCTGCCTTCTCTGACTTTGAGTACTAACAGCACAAGGCTAACAGAGTCAAAGGACAGAAAATGAATATAATTAGGTCTCTGAGCAATCTCCCATTTTAATTTATAGCATAGATAAGCAATAGAATAAATATCCTCATTAATTATGAGCATAAATATTAAGGTTGAGCCAGACATGTTGGTGGAGTCTGAGAGGCTGACAGAGGTAGGAGGATCCAAGCTGGAGCCTGGCCTGGGAAATTTAGCAACTCTGTGAGACACTGTCTCAAAAATAAAAAATAGGGGCCGGGGATTTAGCTCAGTGGTTTCGCCGCCTGCTGTACAAGCTCAAGGACCCGAGTTCGATCCCCGGCACCAAAATAAATAAATAAATAAAAATTTAAAATATAAAGTACTGGGAAGATAACTCAGTGCAAAAGCTCTGGGTTTAATAACCAGTATGCAAACAATAAATAAATACATAACAAGGACATATTTATTCAATTATGTTCTTTAGCAGGGGCTGTGAAACCTAAGGCCCATGGGCCAAACCCTCTACATTTTGCTAGAACACAGTTTCATTCATTTATATATTGTCTATGGCACAACAGCAGAGCTGAATAACTGAAACAAATGTAGGGCTGGAAGAAACAAAATATTTACTATCTGGCCCCTTACAGAAAGTCTACCAGCCTAAGCTCTAGAATAACTAATAAAAAGGGCAGGAAATTATACATGTGTAAGTCTACGAATAATAAAAAAGGACAGAATCTGTATTTAGTTCCAATATCTGATGATCTTCAGTATATTATTGTACTCTATTTTATTTTATTTTTGTATGCTAACTACAGGATATATTACTGAACTATGTATGCCTCCAACCCTCAGTACAGTACTTTTTTTTTTTTTTTTTTAGGTTTTTTGAGAGAGGGTCTTGCTCTGTAATTCAAGCTGGTCTTGAAGTCACTATGCACCCCAGGCTGCCCTCCAACTCACAGCAATCCTCCTGCCTCAGCCTCCCAAGTGCTGGGATTACAGTTGTGTGCCACCATGCCTGATGGTACAGAACTTTAAAACAGAAAGGTAGAAAAACTCATGACTAAAATATTAACATGTTGCTGTGTCATTTCACATGCATCAGAGGCTGCTAAAATAAATGCCATTTAAAAATTACAAATTCTTAAAATTGTATAAAACACAAGTTTTATTCTATAGATTTATAATTTTTGGATTTTCTGGCATTTAGTACATTGTAAGCAAAATTTTCAAAGTTATTTTAACAGGATCAGCAATGTTCCCTTGATGAAGAATGTAATTAGAGGTTTTCAGAATGGCCAGCTGCCTTTACATAGCAGCAAAGGACATAATCAAAAGCTTAACTACACAGTCTCGCTATGCTGGCAGGAAATATTTTCATTTGAGTGACTAGCTGGTGAAGAATAAATGAATGGGGCTGGGCATGGTGACACATCTCTGTAATCCCAGCTTTAAGGAGGCTGAAGCAGGAGGATCACAAGTTCAAGGCCAGCCTGAATTACATAGACTCTTTCTTAAAAAAAAAAAAAAAAAAAAAGAATGGGGAAAGACGTCTCCTTAGTTGTCACTGTGAACTGTCAAAAGGTTACATTCTCGTCTCTAGCCAAGCACCGATATGCTTTCAGAAAGCAAAAAGTACATACCTGAGCTGTAAGAAGAGTTGTCAAGGATACATCTGCTCGCTCTTCAGTGATGTAAGTCCTTGGTTTTCCTTCCCAAAGTGCACAGTCTTCCAGGTCCATTAGCTTTACCTGAGATTTAGACAAGCCTGGAGGGCGAGTTCCCTGTTGTTGCTGCTGCTGCTGCTGGTGTGCCTGCCGTAAACTAATCTGCTTTGGAAATACATTTTCATCTACACTTGGCACAACAACATTATTCACCTGATTATCTGAGACTGTACTTGAAGAATTCTTGGTAATCTTATCTCCTGGCATCACGTGAGTGTGTTTCTGCCTTGGAGAAACAGGGTATGGTAAAATAGATTTATAAGATGTTTTAGTTCGGCCACTGAGCGTTGTCTGTTTGCTTTGAGGCTTCACCTTTCGAGAGGCGGTAGGTACAGAATGAGGCTTCAAAGAGTAAGAGGTAGAAGGGGAAAGGGTAGATTGCTTCTTTAGTACACTATCAAGTGTTCGTACATAGCTGGTACTCTTGGTGGGAAGCTGGTATACCACAGGAGATGTAGGAGCATTGGAAGAGAAACCCATGCTTGTTTCCATCAGCTTGCCTTCATTTTCCAAGTATTCATCTAGTTTATCACTACAGAAAGCAGAACGGTTTTTCAGTGAACCTTCTGAATTTCCACCTAGAAATAAGAAGACACAAAATATTTAATGAAATCTAGGACACATCTTTAGAGTTCTAGGGGAAAAAAAAACTTTAAAAGGCCAGGAGTACTTACTCAGAATCAAGCTACTAAAATTTCTAAATTGTTCCTCCTTTGAAAGAAGGAAATATAAAACCAAGTGAAAAGTTTCAGATAATAATTATATGAAAATCCTTTCTCTAGTCTCAGACACTAATTGCATTAAAATCCATTCTCTAAAATAATGCCTGATCTTTCAAGTATCAAATTATTGGGCCAGGGATTTAGCTCAGTGGCACCACACGTGCCTGGCAAGAGCAAGGTCCTGAGTTTGATTCCTGGTACCAGAAGAGAGAAAGAAAGAAAAAAAATCAAATTATTGAGTACTGATTTCTGCAAAGCACTAACAATAATCAACATAAGCCAGCAAACTTTTGGCAACTTTTAACCTAACTGCAGAAACCACAGAAGAGTAAAATCATTAAGATAACAAAAAACAGAATTAAATCAAAGCAGATCTCAAGAGATTTGTATTTAAATCCTCAAAAGATTTCTATTTAAAAGACTGGTGTACCTGCTATCTGATATAAAACACTATGGAAAAGGTAAAGCCACCAGAAGAAGTTTTTTGCTTTGTTTTTGTTTTTTGGGGACAGAATCTCACTATATAGTTCAGGCAGGCTTTGAACTCACTATGTAGTCTAGGCTGGCCTCAAATTCCTGGTGATCCTCCTCCCTCAGCCTCCTGAGTGCTGAGATTACAGGCATGCACCCAGCAGTTTTTAAGGAAAATAAAATGTTAGCAAAGGGTCAAACACTGCACTGTCATAACACCACAGAAAGATTCAAAAGTAAGAAAGGCTATTTCAAACAAATGGTAAATTCACCTGGTAAAGTATAAACGGCAAGCAAATGTAGGGAGAAAGGAAAAGCACTAGAGTAACAAGCACACTGTCACAAACACTTGGATCAAGTTTACTTTGAAGTATGAAACTATCAGGAATCACTATACACTTCTGACACATATATACAGTTGAAAAATAATGTTTCAAAATGATGTTTTTTTAACTGTGGGAATAACAGAAGGTGATGCAGTTTTAAAAATGCAGGTATTATTTAAGCCTCACATGACTGGCAACTGAACCTCAGGGTTCAAGCCGTACAGAAACAAAAACCAGTAAGATAATTATTTTCAGTTCAGTTTAAAGTATGGAGAGAGGAGTTAAGGAAAGATGGTTAAACAAGACTTACCTTTACCACAAAGTTTTGGCTACATGTTCCAAAACATGTTAAGAATTTTTAAAAAAGCAAAGCTACTTACTCTCATTTCTAGATGCAGCAGCACTATGAAATTTTCCCCTCCATCCCTTGATTTTGGTAAAGTCATTGGTCTTCCCTGTCCTAGAAACAAAGGGAAATCCGGCATCTACAGAAGAAAAATAAAAGAGGTGACCAAAATTCTAGCAAGCCAATAGCACAGGCCAAATTACTAAAACTTCACCTAAAATGTATAAATCATTTACTAACATTATGCCAAGAAACAAGACCTACTTTAAAATCCTAAATATCTCCAACAAATGGTAGCTTTTTAAAAAAAATCTATTATCACAAATAACCCAAACTTTACTTATTTATGGTTTTTTTTGGTACCGAGGATCAAACTCAGGACCTCGTGCTTTCGAGGCAAGCAGTGGCACCACTGAGCTAAATCTCCCACCTTAAACCCAAACATTAAATTATGCTTGAATTTATAAATGCTGTTCACTCACCAGGAGAGGCAGAGTTGGTTCCTGTAAAGTTCCAAAAAGGGAAGCTTGTGGCTGGAGCTAAAGGTAGCTGTACTCCCAAATATTTAAGATCAATGCTCATTGTTGGATCCACTGAATTCAATTTTAACCCCACTATAAGAGAAAGAATCACAAATCATATTATCTCCTTTTTCTGTTTTTCTTCCTTTTTAAACCTGTGGCTAGGGAAGTGTGTGTGGGGGGGGGTAACAGAGACAAAGCAGACAGTGAAAAGCAAAAATGATAAAATAAAAATGAACAGTGATAGATTCACTAAGGTGAATTCATAATCCACGGCTTCTAGTATTATATATTTGTGTAACCCTTAGCCCCTTGGGTGTGGGCAAGGCCTCTTAGTTACTTTTCTCTCGCTGAGACAAAATGAAAGCACCCAAGGTTAAAAGGGGAAGGCTTTACTTAGCTCACAGTTTGCAGAGGTTTCAGTCCATAATCGGCTGGCTCCAAGGGAGGGTGGAACATGGCAGAGGGGCAACAGTACATGGAGGCCCCAGAAGACAGCAAAAACAAGCAAGCAAGGGACCTTAAGTCTTCCTGCCCCTTTTATCTTATCTTAGACTACTTAAAGCGAGTAGCATTTACACCCTTAATCCTAGTGCCTCCGGGCCTAGCATTGCATCATGAATCAATCACACATCAGCCACCTCTGAAAAAGCTCCACCTCAATTGCATGAGGCTTGGGGGGACATCTAGACACAAGCCATAACAGTCTGTAACCAACAAAATGCAGTAAAGAGTATGCGATATACCCAATTAAGTGTATGCAATACATGAGAGTGTAGCACCCATCTTGCTAGAGCTGCAAGGAAATAAATTCTGCCAAGTAGCTAAGGAAAGCTTGAAGTGGCTCCCTCCACAGGCATACTTCTGATAAACCAGGCCTGGCCAACATCTACCACTGAGCCACATCAGGAGCCATACCACCACACTGGCAAGCCCCAGCCACCATCTTGATTGCAACCTTGTGCGACTGCAAGCTGAGAACCCAGTTAAACCATGGTCAAGACTGTCAATACATGTGCCAGGGATTTAGCAAGGTGGTGCTGCCACCTGCCTCACAAGTGCAAGGTCCCGAGTTCAATCCCCAGTATACACACACACAAAAGATTGTCAATTCACAAAAAAAAGTCAAAGAGTAAATGTGGTGTTTTAAATTGCTATCTTTGTGATAACTCATTAAGCAACAATAGATAACTAGCCATGTGTGGTGGTCCATGCTTATTATAATCCTAGCACTTGAGAGGCTAAGGAAGGAAGATCACAAATTCAAGCCCAAATAGGGCAATCTAGAAAGATCCTTTCTCAAAATAAAATAAAAAGGGCTGGACATATAGCTCAGTGGTAGAGTATTTGCTTAGCATATTCAAGTCCCTGGATTTAATTCCCAGCACTAAAAGTTTAAAAACAGAGAGAGAGAGAAAAAAAGAAACACCAAGAAGTCCACGGAAATCTGGCAAAACTACCAAAAAGTATAACTCAAAGTTAGAATAAGTAAGAATTAACTACAGAAGGTGGGGAAGAAGAATAGAGGAGGAAAAAAAAGCAAAAAAGAAGATACCGTATAAATTCAAGGGAATAAACAATAGTAAATAGGTCCGGGAATTTAGCTCAGTGGTTTCGCCGCCTGCTGCACAAGGCGCAAAGACCCGAGCGAGTTGGAGCCCCAGTACCAAAAAAAAAACAGAATCGTAAATAAAAGATCAAAAGACATACTATACAGCTTAAAAAAAAAAAATTTATATGACAAATTACCAGAACAACTGCCTACAGAAAAAGCAGAAAGAACAGAATAAAGCTGCTAAAAATGTTCCCTTCTGGCAAGCAGGTAAAGTCTAGATTCATGCTACCAAATTTACAGACTATTTCCTACATATTGTCTTGTTGCATTTATTTGTATATTTTGAGCTGTCCTCGAGTGAAAGGCAGTAAGAACAAATTTTAAAAATACAATTTATTTTATTTATTTATATATTAATTGGTACATTTTAGGTATACAATACATTTACATTTATCATTGGGTGTTTGTACCTGAACATGATGTATCTTAGTTCTTATTTTTTCCATTACCTATGTGCCCTTCACCCCCACCACCCTTCCCTATTTACATAGACTTTGTTTCCATTTTTTTTTCTTTCTCGTAATTTTTCCTTTCTCTTCTTTCCTTTCCCCTTCCACTCCCGCCACCCCTAACCCTTTGGACCTTTTCTTATTTCAAATTATGAATTATTCGTTTTAATCATTTTCATCCTTATTTACACTTTAAGTTTCTTACACTAGAGAAACTATTCGGTATTTACACATGTGTGTCCTATTTATTTCACTTAAGAGTATGGCCTCAATATGCATCCATTTAGCTATAAATGACTCTAGTTTCTCGTTCTTTATGGCTGAGTAGTACTCCATTTTATAAAAAAAAAACAAACCACATCTTCTTTATCCAGTTTTCAGTTGATGGGCACTTGGGCTGTTTCCAAACCTTAGCTATTACAAACTGTGGCTGTTATAAACATGGGTACATATATATTGATGTGGTACGATTCTTTTAATTCTTTGGGGAAGATAACCAGTAGGGGAAGAGCAGGGTCAAATGGGACCTCTAGCCCTAGTTCTTTGAGGTATCTCCATACTGATTTCCACAGTGGTTGCACCAGTCTGCACTCACACGAACAATGGAGAAGGGTTCCTTTCTCTCTACACCCCCGCCAGCATTTGTTATTGGTGATTTCTTGATAGCAGCCATTCTTTGTGGGGTGAGATGGAATCTCAGTATTGTTTTCATCTGCATCTCTCGAATGACCAGTGATATTGAACATTTTTTCATATATTTATTTGTTGTTTTTACTTCTTTGTCTGAGAAATGTCTGTTCATTTCAGATGCCCATTTTTTAATTGGGTCTTTGAATTTGGGGGGTCTGATTTACAATTTATTTTAAGTATGCATTTTTAAAGACATTAAAACTATAGGTTAATAGCACAAAATCCCTTTTCAAAGTAATTCCTTCCACCTTAGCTTATTCAGAAACATGCACTTTGCAAGAAATGTTTGTCATGCAAGAAAATGTCTGCTCAGATAATAGACACAAGACCTACAATTAGCTAATTTCATAAGGATGAACTTAAGTAACTCTGGCTTGCAGAGGAGTTAAAACAATTCACAGAAAGTAAACTGTAAAAAATCCTAAAGTCTTTTCCATATATGACAATTCAAACTGAATTATACTCTTAAATTTGCCACATTTCACTGTATTAGGAGCTACTTTTTAAAGACACTTTATAACTCTGTGCTGTACCCTACCATCTTCTCCTACATCTTCTGTACCACCATGACTGGGAGCTTCAACAATGCCAAAAAGAGTAGCAAAGACCAAGTTCTTATTAGGCCATGCTCCAAAGTCATTGTCCAGTTTCTTCTAACCAGGAGGATAAACTAGGATTACATCGGTGAATTTGAAATCACTGTTGATCACAGAATGGAGAAAATTGTTGTAAACTTCACATGCTGGTTATACAAACAGAGTGATCAGCTTCATATTTATTTGATGGAGAAAAATAGGATAATCAGCTCTCATCCTGTCAATCCAGTTCCATTGTATTAGCTGATATCATGGGATACACAAGAAGCAAGATGAAAACACAGGTCCAGAAAAGGAAAAGGAAAAGGAAGCTAAGCTGTTTTATCATGTAGCCAGTACTCATTTTTTAACTCTATTTGAGTTCCCTGCCTCCTGATCATTTGTCTCTTACTCAAGCCCCCAACTTCTTTATAAAAGTCTTAAAAAACGGAGGCTATAAAATTTTGTAAGATAGCAATCTCTGCTTTATGCTACTCTTTTTGGGGGTACCAGGGATCAAACTCGGGACCTTGCACTTGCGAGGCAGACAGCGGCACCACTGGGCTAAATTCCCTGGCCCTATGCTACTCCTGTTTTCACACAGTCCTTAATGTTTACTGCAAATTCCTGTTGAGCCTTGCTGTTGTTTTTCCACTTGAATGACTTCATCTAAATCTGTGTTCTTTACTTTGCCTTATAATTTAGTAGCTGTTATATATCTAATTATTCAACATCTAATTTCACATAAGCAAATATGTCATGTTTAATTATTTTAAGCCACTTGTTAACTCTTTACAGTATTTGTTCAACTTTTACTTTCACTGATGATTTTAACATTTTTGAAAGAAACAATATGGGCCCCGGGATTTAGCTCAGTGGTTTCACTGCCTGCTGTGCAAGCACAAGGTCCTGAGTTCGATCCCCAATACCGAAAACAAAAAAAAGAAAGAAAGAAACAATATGCACTTGGAGTTAAATTAAAACTGCTGCAGCTTAAAAAAAAAAAGATGAAAACAAAAGGGAAAATGCTTGGATTCTTTTTCAAGGGATGCAATACATATACATACACACACACACACACACACACAAAAAGGTGCCTCAGAAGGAGTGTGGAAGACTTATGTAACACCATCACAGAAAGACTAATAAAGATAAAAATGATAGGTTTGGCTGTTTGATGCACAAGCGCAAGGACCTGAGTTTGATCCCCAATACCAAAAAAAAAAAAAAAAAATGAAAAGAGAAAAATTTTAGGTTCATGCAAATACAGATTCACATAATATACATGGCCAAAAAATGCCTGCCTTCAGCTAAAACCACTGAAATACAAAGAATTCACAAAAATATGCTCTAGGTGTTTACACTTAAAACATCTAAATAAACAATAAAATACAACAGAAAAACATACAAAAGAAAAAATCCACCCAACTACTGATTTTTTTGGTACCGGGGATTGAACTCAGGACCTTGTGCTTGGGAGGCAGGGGACAACTCTACTGAGCTAAATCCCTGGGCCAACCTAATTACTGATTTAACGCTACACTCAGAATAAACTTATAGAGCCAGGTGTGGTGGTGCATGCCTGTAATCCCAGGCTGATGCAGGAGGATTGCCATCAGTTTGAGGCCAGCCTGGGCTACACAGTGAGTTCAAGGGCAGCCTGAACTATTGTAGCAAGACCCTGTCTTTAAAAAAAAAAAAAGACATATATCATTCACAAGAGTCAGTAATGACACAATGACTGAGTAAACAAATGAGAGAGAA